AAGTAAATTGGAAAATCTTCAAATCCTCTTCAAAACTCATTGACTTTCAACCTCTTCTTGTCCCTCATACTTTGAGCTAGAGACACCATGTCAACTTTTAAAGAGTCAGAAGACCTTGAACTATTGGGCATGTATTCAGCTTCTACTTTTTGGAAAAATACATACGTGGGTTGGGTGCCTACCTGTATACTGGAAATGTAAGTAGGAGATAACGTTTATTTTTTTATTTATTACAGCTGACAAGACATCTAGGTGCACACCCCTCGACGGCAGCATGCCCCGATGCGCGTGGACTGCGAGGGCCCGTTCATCGCTGCTTGTTATAGCTTAATATTGCTGTTCTTATTTTCACAGAAGCTGTTCAGAACGACAGAGAAGCTAGAGGAGAAGAAGGCTGACAAGCAGATGGTTGAGAGTGAAATCGTAAGTAACTTAGTTAAGGGTCAGCCTGTATCTTTTTATCCTACTTATACTGAACTTCTTGTTTTCTCTCCACACCTGAAGAAAGCCGATAAATCTGCTCTGGAGAGCAAAGTAAGTCGTCTGCAGTTTGACTCTACGACTGAGCATCTCAACACCATGTTCCACGAGCTTCTGAACAAGGTGACCGGCCAGGAGCAGGACTGGCACAAAGTCATCGACAAACTCTCCACTGAGATGGAATGCAAGGTAATCATTGTTCAGACAAGCCTACTGGGCCTCATTCCCCACTCGTTCTTAAGAAGAAATTTCTTCTTAAATCCCACTTACGCAGTTTTCATAAAGATTCTCACATTCACAAATGTTTTCTTATTTAGGATTTGTTCTTAGGTAAGAACAGAATCTGCACACACTCATGAGCACTCTTACACACATTTTGTGCTGACATGTTTGTGCAGAATAATTGGTTGTTGTGTTTTCTTCAATTCTACAGTTACAGTATAATATTATAGGATTTAAATTCCTATAATATCTTTCTCATTAGTATTTTTTAATTTCACAAAAAGCACATTTGCCTCATAAAATAAACACTACACACTTCACATCAGTTATGTTAATTGGAACTGTGCCATCTAATAATTAATAATTGATCAATTCAAAAAGTGACAAAGCAACATACCGAATAAATGATAATAAGTTATCAATTTCTTGCAGAAACATTGTATGAATCCACCTTTATCTTCTCTCCCCCTCTCTGTTTCACTTCCCCTCTTTCTGTCTCACAAACACACATGCACAGCTTGGAGAGTGCTGTGGTGCTCATCTCTGTCCTCAGTCCTGACAATTGTGACTCTATAATACATAAAGTTTGCGGTACGCATGCAGGTCAGGTGATTGAGTAATGCATATTGTAATCATCTTATGCATCTTTCTTTTATTTACACTCCTGATGCTACTAAATATGACAGCTTGTTTGGCTTTCTCTGCAGAACTACCTCCACTTCAAAACAGAAGGGTTTTTTCTTGTTTGTTTAGTTTGTTTTTATATTGGGAGTCCAGTGCTTCACTCTCGTCAGACCTTTGGTTGGGCATTCCTGACTTAATTCTCTCAACTTCTTCTTCTGCAGTTTTTGGGTGTGCACACAGCCCTGCAGTCTAATGCCTTTAATTGGGAATTTGCAGGATAAACTTGCACACTTTCAACTTACAAGGACAATTGGATTCATCATTATAAGAATAACGATGCGAACAGTTCTGCTGCATAGACTTTTCTTAGGACCTTTCCCTAATATTAAAAACAAAGATATTGGTGAATGAGGCCCAATGTGTCTAACTGTAACATCTAAGTGACAGATGTGAGGGTTTGATCTTTCATTATGTGTGATGTTATGTTTGACTGCAGCTGAACAGGATTGAGTTAGACTCTGTTAAGAAGCAGCTGGAAGATCGCTGGAAGAACATCCATGAGAAGCTGCAGGCTCAGGGAGCTCCAGAGCATGAGGACGCTGCCGGCATCAGAAAGTAAATGTTCACATCACTCATCACTTATTCACTCTAAAGGGTGTGGAGTGAAAATGGGATCAGCAGGAGAGTTTTGTATAGTGTTGCACCAGCTACGTATAAATCCATTATTAAGTGTGTTTAAGTCCTGAATTCTTTGTAACTATTAGCTAGTTTCAAATTAGTGATTAATAAATCAGGTTGAACCGTTAAAACTTCAAACTGTCAAGGAAACATTTGTTGCACTATCCAGTCAAGCAATCAACCATGCATGCAACCATGCATCTGCATACAAGGAGAAATACTAGTTAGTATTATTCATGCAGTTTACAATGAGTGGGATTACATAACCCAACCGTCATTAGTTGGTAATTAAGTCAAATTTCATTGGCATAATATTTTAATATTTTGTTATTTAAGTTATGTTGTGTGTTTTTTTTTGAGAACTTATAATTGACATCATTATCAGAGGATATTTTAATCAAGTGCAGGTCAGATACGTCGACCATAATCCATATTTCCTCAGTAGTCAGTTCTTTATCCATCTCATATCTTCTCATTGGTGTTATATACTGTAAAAAAATCAAGAACTGAGTACAATCAGCTGTCTTTGTGTTTATTCCAGACAACTTGTGGACAGATTTCACTGCCTTTCCTGTGACCGACCTGTTGTCATGCACACCTCTGGACAGTGAGTCAATACTGATAACAGTTCCCAGATTATCATAATTCATATTATTAGATTTGCAAACTGCGTATGTATCCAGAGTTGAAGACATTTTCTAGTTATTTTTCCAGTGTCTTTTATTATCATTATTCCTCAGATTACAAAATAAAATGACTTAATACTCTAAAATACCAGTTATCTGCTCTCTAAACCCATCTACTCTGGTATGTTTGTGGCAATAAAAGGCATTTGGTAAAGCTGCCATCCACTCCTGGATTCCCCTCACACAAGTCCATCAGGCCGTTTACGGTTTACGCTCTGGAGCAGTTTCGACAACACTACAGGAGGTGAGATCAGCAGTCACTTGCAGTTCACCTCTTCTCACCATGTCCTCTGTTGACCAGCAGGTGGCACAAGAGTCTTCAAAGCTTTAAATATTTCACTTGCAAAGAGGACCATAAACATCATTTTTATGTTTTATAAGTGAACCTCTAATCTAGAAACTCTGCAGATAGACTACCCCTCAGCACTCAGAGCATCTGTTAGTTTCTCAGTATCTGAGTTGTGACCTTGTCATCTCAGCCTAAAACAAGGGAGTAACCGTCAAAACTTTGAGGTAGCTAAGTCTGGCTGTCTCTGGCAGCCAGATAGAGAGCATGCAGAGGCAACTGAAACACTGTGACACATCTGGCACTGCAAGCGACGGAAACCAGCCCAGAGTCCTGCAGTGAGTCAGACAGAGGGCAGGAGGACAGGCAGAGTCACTGTGTTTGATGTTTAAGCCCAATTTGGACAGGATTAATGTCTCAAGGGGAGGTGAGGTGATTTCAATATCACCTGCACTGATTTTAACCCTGTCTGGAGCTCACATGGCTGTGACTTTACACTCCTGCAGATACCAGTCTGTTTCTTTATGTAGAAGTGGCCTCATGACATCAAGAAACAGACGTTTAAGTACTTAAACATGTTAATAATTAAATTATAGCTCAATCATTACCAGTGAATAACACTGGTATGAAAGAGACACGATGACACTTTAATAGTAGTTATGAGAAACACTGTGTTGTTTCAGCAGCAAATAAGACACAGTAAAAAAGAAAAGAAAATGTAAAAGAACTGGGTGTATAATAAGAGCATGAGCAACAGCATGTACAACAGTAGAAGTACTGACTAGAAATAAATGAAAAAAAACAAACAAATCTATAAATATTTGCATCTAAATAGAACAGCAGTTCATGATCTTCTCCTTCTTGATCTTCTCCAAATCTGAAAATCTACATCATCAGACTTTAAAAAGAGAAGCTGCGGACTCATGTTGTGACGTTTCTCTCTGACCGAGCAGTGAGCGCATCTCTGAGATGACGGATTACAGTCACCTGGCCATGTCGCGGAGCTGTGGGGGGAGTCACACAGTCACCTCTGCCAGTCAGCGACGCACCGGTCTGCAGTACGTGAAGCACCACCCTCAGACTGAGGTGGACACCGTGATTCAGGTATGACAGATAATAGTTTATCCTGTTTTTTATTCTGATGTAAACTTGCAGTATACATCACAGGGAGAATCAGAGTAATGGTATTTATCTAAAGATATGATCTGTAAACATAGAAAAATAATTTGAACCCAAATCCTCCTGCACAGGTGTCTGTTGGAGTTTTTGGGATCTTTATTTGCTTCCTTACAATCAGAGGAGGTCATACAGGGGTACCCACACATCCTAGAAAACCTGGCAACATTTGTTCAAAAGTTCTGGAAAATAATGAGTTGTCCTGAATAGGTTATTATTTGTTCTTTTTAAAGAATAGACTTTATCTATTGGATGTTGCCGGCTGTCACCTTACCATTAACTGCTCCCTTTGTGTCTGTGTGTGTGTGTGTCTGTGGTGACTGATTAGACGGAGGAGGTTGATATCGTTGGACTGGATGGGCATATTTACAAAGGTCGCCTGAACGCACCTGCCATCAGAAATACAGAAACTAAACTACCTACGATCTCTACCAAAGACGGTAAATTTATTCTATTTAAAGTGCAACTAACCTCATTGGATAACACTCTGTTATGAAGGGACATTTTTTTTCAAAGGTCCAGTGTGTAGGATTTAAGGCGATATATCGGCAGAGATGGAATATAGCAGGTGTGTTTTTTCAGTTTATAATCACCTGAAAATAGGAATTGTTGTGTGTTCATAACCTTAGAATGAGCTGTTTATATCTACAAAGGGAGCTGGTCCTCATCTATGGAGATCACCATGTTGAACTGCCATGTTTCCATAGTAGCCCAAAACAGACAAACCAGACAGTGACTCTAGATAGGGCCATTTGCTTTTTTGGTATCAGCCACCATAGTTAGCAGACGCTTGGTGATCCTTACCACTAAATTCCCCTAAATCTTACACACTGGACCTTTAAACTCTTGGAAGAGTCACAGCAATATAGTGCAGGCAGCAGGACACTTTCTCATGAGCAGCTGCTGAGCAATTTTACAGTCATTGCAAATAAACTGTTTTGAATTTACCAGTTGTTTACTCTCTGGTGTTTGAAGGCAGCAGTGTTTCTATATTAATATCAATATCATTATATTATCATATGAGCTGTCAGCACCTTTAGATGTGTTGGTGGCTCTTACGGCCTTGAAAACGACGAAACTAAAAATGAAAGGGTGGATGGTTTATGTGAAACATGAAGAAGAGATTTCACACCTGCTGCAGCTCTCACAGTCTCTGCCTGCACTTTGCTGTTGAACATGATTCATGAGAGCTAATGTCATTCAGTGTATTTTGAGTGAGAGCTGAAAATGTCAAGGTAGGATACAGCTGGTAGGGTTTGTGGTAGCTGTTGTTAACCCCTTGTCACATGTTTCTCTGATGGCTGCAGGCATGTGCAAAACTAAAGACAAAGCCAAGTGCTCTCTGTCCCACAAACCTGCTGCGTCTCCGGAGCTGGGACACAGTGTTCCAGTTCATCACCCAAACAGTGCCAAGAGTGCCCAGTGCAGCCGCTCAGGTGAGACACATTCACACACACAGGTAAAGGTGTGACAGTTTACCCAGTTCTCCCCATGCCTCTTTGGGTTTCATCTCACAGTCTTGAGATGTCCATGTAGCACTCAGTTCAGTGTTGTGATACCAGTCACCCTCCTGAACTGATCACTGCATATTAAAAACAAAAGACATCACACCAAGGGCAGAGTTCATTAGTCTGCCTCTTTCTGTTTGAACTCAGCTTGATGATTGTTGATCATTGATGATCATGTATCATCAGAATCAGGTTTATTGCCAAGTAGGTTTTCACATACAAGGACTTTGCCTTGGTATTTTGGTGTATAACAATAAACTTAGTAAGAGAAATGCAAGCATTGCAAAGGTCAAATATAAATGTAAAAAAAAAGTAAGATATACCAGTTTTTAAAATGAAAATAGCTCTGCAGTGTTAGTAATATACAATAAAGTCATACAGCTAGAACAAAATCTGAAGAAGGCATAACATCCAAATATTAAAAGCAATTGATGCACTTTAAAACATTGATCATTTTCTGAAAATTAACAGTTTGTACAGTTAATACGCAGCTATGATTTATTAAGCTCTTAGTGTTAGTGTAGCAAACAGTCTCGTCCTTTATCCCAGCCCTGCCCATTTTTGATACTTTTTTTATTTTCTAGGGAGGAGGCATTTAGGCCAGACATCTGGGCTTTAGTTACTCTTTCAAACCGATGTGGACCTGTTGTTGTTTAAGGTCCACATTTGTCTGTACACAAATTTTAATCATCCAAAAGTTGCAGAGATATTTAATTGTGGATCAAAGTAGTGGTCAGACAGACAGTCCTAGATTTTTCCTAAAAACATTTAAATATTAAAGGTCCAATGTGTAGGATTTTGGGGCATATATTGGCAGAAATGGTATATAATATTCATAACTATGTTTTAATTAGTTTATAATCACCTGACAAAATTAGAATGGTGTTTTTGTTACCTTAGAATGAGCTGTTGTTATCTACATACAGAGTGGGTCCTCTTCTACCAGTGGCGTCAGGTGGTTACGATGGGCCCCAGTGCACGCTGTTCTGACGGGCCCTAGTCCACCCTAGTAACTAGTTATGAAGCACACACACACACATACACACAGTTTTAGGCATATATATATTTCACTAACAGTGTGTCTTACTGCTGCTTTTTTAATTATATCCACTTGCAGATGTACTCAGCTTTTCAGTCTTGAGAAATTTTGCACCTAAACTAGATCATATTGTTTTGTTACAGGATTAAACAGAGACTTGATATCAACATACATCAACATACATATTACACAGCAATCATCATTACTGATCTGTATGTGACACAAACTACAAAAGAAAATATGAAGTTATTACTTTAATTAAAAAGTTTTTTTATAGTTAAATTATAGGGTTTTTTATAGTTTATGCAGAATAAGGACATCATTTTGTTATAGATTAATACTTTTTTGCAAAGACAGAAAATCATGATGGAGATGGGTTTGCCTTTTTGAGGGCATAAAAAGAAAATTGAACCATTTTTGATATAACATGAGTTCTTTGAATACATGCATATTTCCAGGTGACCATTGGGCCCCTCCACCCCATGGGCCTCAGTGCAGGCAGTGTGGCTAGATTTACACCCCTGTCTTCCTTGGAGTCCACCATGTTGTTTCCACAGTAGTTCTCCAGAACAGACAAACCAAACACTGGCTCTGGATCAGGCAGTTTGCGTTTTTGCATTGGCCACAGTAGTTCTGCACACTTGGCACACAGGAGAAGTTTTAGCTCTGCAACATCACCACTAGATGCCATTAAATCCTACACACTGGACTGTTAGGAATATAAAAAAATATAAATTTAAAGAAATCAGATCAAATCAAAGAGAGAAGCACTGACAGTATATTTTTAGGACATTTTATGTCCACTGAAAACAAAAATCTTTGTCTAAACTCAAAGCTTGGAGATGGGTGAGTGTGAAGGTGCTCTCATCACACAAACACACACACACACACACACACACACACACACACCTTAATACATTTCATCTGATCTCTGTCTCCTATTCCTCTCCTCTGTGTGTCCAGCCTCCAGCATTTCGGGGCGGGACTGGCCTGTGTCAGCTCTGGGCTGCACATCGCAGAGCTCCATCACTCCGGCTTTAGCTGCAGCAGAGAGCAACACAGAGCCTCATGCTGATGAGCCACTCGACCCATAGGGGGCGACACTCAGCACTGTACTGTTTTTCTCATGTAATTAATTTCCTGCAGGGAGAAGGTATCCTGCTTTAATCCTTTTTTAATTTTTATTTTATCAATTTGTTGCTTATTGTTGTAACATTGTTTTGCATTACATGTCCCATAAATCACCTGTCAAACATTGGGTCCAGTACTGTGACGTCTCTTTGGGGTTCTTTTTATTTTAATTTTCTTCCACTCAATAGGACACAGAGTGTTGACACAGCAAACATAAAACCTTTCGGTGCCAGTATTAAATCCTTAATGAAGGGTTGGATGGATTTATTAAAAGATAAGTCTGATGTTATTGTTTATGTTTTGTTATTGTTAACAATTCTTATGTGCAGACCAGAAACAAAATGTCTGTCTCTCAGGACTGTCTGGCTTCCTTTCTGTGGCTAAAAGGCTAAAACAGCTGCTCACTGTAGCTTTGTGTTGGTTTGGGTTTTGTAATTAGTTTAGCTGACAAGATGAAAAATATAAAATATTACCAGACTTATACTTCAGTGTAATTCTTATTCATTCTTTTAACCAATCTGTATATCATTAAAATATGTCTGTAGAGTAAATCCCTGCTGTAAAACCACATGCTGCAGGGGAGACACAATTGGCTGCTCCCGTAAACACCAAATAATATATATATTTAGGCATACGGAGTAATAAAACTCTCCCATGTGTTGTTCCCTGTAACTGTCAGTATTGGGTGGCAGGAGGTCAAGAAGCCAGGTGTTGCATCATGAGGGGGAAACACATCACTACTGCCGGCAGCAGAAGTGAACATCCTGTTCGCAGAAACACCAGGCTGAGAGCAGGAAAGACACAATGACGAGTAAAGATGAAAGTTTATCGCAGAGCAGGGAGGGCTGAACTTTGAAGTGCGGTCACAACTTGCTCCAGATTATTTCCTGTCATTGAAGAATTTGGTTTTTTGTCAAGTGACTTTTTAAGTCTGTGGTTGATGTGTTAGCAGACTCCCTCATTCTGAAGTATTTCAGTTTAAAACAGAAAGTTCATTTAAGTTGGCCTGAGTACAGTTTTGATGTACTTGCACTTTACATGAGTCTTTTCTTTTCATGGAACTTTCTACCTCTACTCCATTGTACCTCAGTGGCAAATATTGTCATTTTTACTGCACTGCATACTATATATCTGACAGCTTTAGTTACTTGTAATTTTTTATTTTCATATAAATAACTTAATTAGCTTATAAAATAAATGATTTTTTTTCTAATAGGAAGATGACAATTTAGAAGAGAAGCAAAGATCTGTCATTCAATGACATTGTGACCTTGTACAATAAAATCAGGGTGTAGTTGGAGCTCCTCGTCACATCTCAGGTGCCTATGACAGTAGTAGAAGTACATGCACCAATAACTTTGGGAAAAAACAATCTAGTCCTGCATTCAGAATACTGCTTTACAGAAGTATTCTCAGCTAAATGTAGTAAAAGTATCAGCAGTAAAGTACAGAAGTATTTTCAGCTCCATGTAGTTAAGGTGTCATGTGTAAAAGTACAGACATATTCTGAGCTTCACCTGTAAAAGTACATATTGTGCAGTAAAATGCCTCCTGTGACTGATATCTGATTTATGTGACATTGGAGAGGTTATGCTGAAGTATCAGAGTTAAAGCAGCATGTTGCTGTTGTATCAACTCGAGGTGGAGCTAGTTTGAACTACAGTGCTTTATATAAAGTAAGCTAGGGGTCAGGCCCCTCCAAAGGGTCATGAGATAAATCTGAGGGGTCGTCAGATGATTGATGGTAGAGATTAAAATATTGATCATTTGAACACTTGGTGCTTTTACTGCTGTAATGGGTCTGAACTGTCTTCAGTCATGCTGAGCTTATGAATCCTTTTTGTCTTCTGTCATTGAACGTAACTCAACACTTCCTTTTTAGAGCAGTTGTGTCATGTTAGGGCACTTGGGCCTATCACACATCGACTGATGAGAAACAGCAGCTCAGCCCCGACCACATCCTTCCTCCAACATTCAGTCTCGGTTATGCAAAGACAAGTAACTTAGTTTGGGAACCACACGTTTTTTCTGCCTTCTCAACCGTCCTTCAGCTCTGACAGTAAAAACCAAAACAAGTGTGATGACACGCCGTCAGCAGTGAGAGATGAAGCAGAGTAGCAGATCATACCTTGTTTTATTAAACATATAAATACAAATTTCAACAGCGGAAATGAACATAAAGTACTCAAGAGAAATCTCTATAAAAGAGCCATGGATTAGAAGAAAAAAAAAATACCGTCATCCACTTGGTGAGAGCAAAATAAAAGTTGAACAGGAGGTTAAAAGAAAAACACCCAGTTTGTAAAATCTTCTAGGTGGTTGGGACACATAAGTTGTATCTTACTGGTTACAGTTTCCAAATCTCCAGTTACCATGCACCTCTACATGGAGCTCCATCACAGAGCTAATAACAGAGTAAAGCACCCTGCGGGAAGCTTGTACAAAGACTCTCCTGTCCTCCCACAAAACTCCAAAACCTGCAGTTCATTCATTAAACACAACAGCAGACAACACGTCCCGTCACCAAAACTCATCAGTCAGGAGTTCAGCAAATTTCAGACATTCAACATCCGCCTCAACTCATCCACAATTGGTTTGATTTAAAGGAAAAATCCGCCCTCAGGTCATTTAACACTTCAATAAAAACGTCTTAACCTGCCTGATTTATAGCACAAAGGCATGTTCAACACAAAATCACAGTCCAACATTTCTTCGCACCATGTTGCTGTGTTTGAGACAATTTAATGTAATATTTCTGCCGTTCTAGATGTCATTATGGTAAGGCATAAAAATGTACTTGCAGACTCTTAAGAATCTCTGGAGTTGTATAATCCATAACAGAAAATATAAAGTCTGCATTAATTTCTATTAAGTTACATTAATCTCAACAAAAAGTACTTCAGAAGTTTTTCATGCTGATTCAATTTAACTTTTAATATTGTTGGTTTTTCTATTAAAATATAATGACTCACATTTAATAAGCAGATGATGTTTTGTGCATGAAACTGTTGCTGAGTATAAGTATAAAAAACCTTAAACTTAAACGTTTTAAATGAATGATGTTTAGTCATTTTTAGAAGTAAAAGATCATAAGAGTTGTAACACATCTGATGGTTTTAGCTTTAAAATGTGATAATTTGCTGATTTTACATCAAAGGAAACTATATATATTTGAATGGTTCATTTTTCACTGTTTTCTGATGTTTTACAAAAACAAAAGATTAATTAATGATAAAGAAAAAGGCATATTAATTGATAATAAAATAGGGATTTAAAAATACAACGATCCAGATCAGTATATTGATTCAATAATCACCGATGCAAAATTTAAACATCAAGACATATCGTCATCTTCAGGATACACCTTTATATTGAAATTCCTGTGTCTCATCTGTGTCATCATTTCCATCCAAGCCTACTTCCTGCCTAAACATTCAAATAGTGCTAGTGGGCTTGTGCCAGGCAAACAATGGTAATTGTATCATGTTAAAACTTGAGATTTACACCCCTATATTGAAAATAATCTAGAGTTTTCAAATCAATCAGCACTTTAACTGCTTTACCTCTTAGTGTTACTGGAATGTTTAATATTTAACGTGATGGATTATATGACTAAAAAAAACCCTTAACAGTCTGCAAAAACTATGACTGCCTGCAACTGATGACAAGGTGAAAATGTAAAACTGTCTCGGTTGCATTCAGAATGGGCAAAAAAATGTTATACATATTACTGAACCTGCAAAATCTCCTTCCAAAGAGGGTAAATGACCCAGAGAAAGGGAAGTAAACATGTCTGTACGACGACTGTGGTGCCCTTTAGTCAAAATATCAACACAAGAATGTGAAAGATTCATAGAACAAAGCAAGTCCAGAGGTGTAAACATCACCAGCAGCTGTTTTTCTAGTGTTTCAGGAGGGATTTTTCCTTTACATCAAAGATCATTTCATTCATTTCTGTATCTGATATTAAATATAATCATATCAGGTTGCTGGGTTTGAACAGTATTAATTAAGTTATGTTATGATGGGAAAATAACAGCTTTGATCGTGAAGCCCGACCTCCCAGAGACAGACTCAAAGTGAGCCGCTGTGAACAAATAAAAGAGGAAAATCATACAGAAACTGAGCTGATTGTCTGTGTGGTGATGTGAAGAATAAAAGCAGTTTGTTGTTTGTTTTTCTTTTCTTTCTGCATCCCGTCGCTCCATGAAGTCGACAACTACTGCTTCCTCTTTCCCGTGAAGTGACAGTGACTTTCTGGTTTTCATTTTTAAAACTTGAAACTAATCTACTGGTGGTTTTGTGAACAAACAAAGTCTGGTCGAGGTTTTTGTAGATCCAAACAATCATTTCGGACTCCGGACTGTATTCAGGTGTGAACACAGATTTCAGCCGTCCGCTGAGCTCTGCTGTAAATTCTTCAGCAGCAGTTTGTACTTGTTTAAACCCTCTGATCCTGTCTGTGTTTGCAGCAGAGAATACATTCAGAGCACATGTGGGGCCTCTCCCATTCACACAGACAGAGGTAGGAGTGGTTGAGCGTCTGAAAGGTTGTGTGGAAAATCACTGAGTTGGCCTCTAACCCCCCCACCCCCACCCCCCCACCCCCCGCCCCCACACACACACACAGATAGACAGACAGACAGAGAGAGACATGGCAGAGGTACTGGCAGCTCACCGCCTGACTATGTCAAATTAAAATGTGCGTTTTTGTGAGATCATCATCAGCGTGACTGAAATATTTTGGCTGAGGGTTTTATTTACAAAACTGCCTCATTATCAGTCAACAGAAAATCAATATTGAGGTTTTCTTGCTGCAATCAGGAAAATTAAAAACTACTCTCCTGCTTATTCAACATGGCGTCTTTAAAGTCTCTTTCTTTGACCGTTGGGCTAAAATGATTAAAAATAAAAAATAAAAATAAAAACGTGGCAGCTCTTTCAATTATCAAATTATTGCCGTTCTACCAAACTTACTGATCATACTTCTACCTTGCAATACATCTTCCCTCACCATGTGTTTGTGTTTGACACGTGCCTCTTGTGTATTATCATTTTACTCATTATATTAACACTTCCTGCAAATTTTAAGGGATTTACAGAATCCTCAAACACTTGTGTCCATCTGGATGAAAAAAATATTCTGATTGCTGCAAACATAAGAAAGATTTTCGAAACTTGCGACTGTATTTTCTATCCAGGTAGTCAGAAGTATGTCGATGCTCTTTTTGTACAACACGTGAAACATGAAAGTGTGTATTTATAATCAATTCAGCTGTGGAACATAACCTCACTCAACAGTATGTAGTGTGGTTCACGCCATATGTTTAGACAGGCACGGTCATTTTTTATGAATTACCTTATATCATCGTTTAATATTTGTTTTTAGCAGCCTGTAACAGACACCACAGACTGCACTGGTACATTTTCATAAGAGCTGTGGTTTTTTTTAAGCTCAAAAAGTAATCATTTAATTTTGCTTCAAATACAAGCTCTGCTGAAGAGTGAACTCCAGAGACTCACCTCGTTTTTCCAAACAGAAATCCTGAATTAGACATTACAGTTTGCAAACAGCGACAGAGGATGAGAAACTAATTTAAAATCTTTCTTAATGTGCAGCAGCAGTAAGTATTTTCTCATCCAGATGGATTTGAGGGTGTTTGAGGAGGTTAATATTTTCAAACAACCTTTCTGGGTTTATTTGTGTTGTAAATCTGGTCTGTGACTCAGGTGTAATGGTAAAAATGCACAATATGCACCAACTGTTGTGTCTCTCTAGTACGACGGCATGTGATCCGGCCAGTGTTAAGTTTCACTGTGGAGAGCAGTTTTATGGTTGTAAATGAAACTTGACTTCATGGCTCCAGCATTAATACACATCTATAAACCTGTTCACACTGTACACATGCTCCACACATCTGAGGCCATTCATCTACAAACTCTTTGTTTATCTGCTGGTTATTGCCGACTTCCTGTCAGATTATTTCTGAACCCTCTGAAAGAAGAAGAGTTTCTATAAAAAAAAAAAAAAAAAAAAAAAGATCACTTCAACAGATCACATGGCTCCTATCCTCAGAGAGTGCTCTGCTGAGTCCTGGGCTTGTTTTGCATTGATGATGATAAAAAGTTTCTGCAGAGACTCAGTGTGTTATCATCAGAGACCCTCCAGGTTCTTCCTCGGCTTGGATGACTTGTGATGAAGACGGAGAGAAGGAGTCTCCTGCTGAGTCCGACTGCTCATCTTCAGTTTAGAAAAACAAGAGAGGAAAACAGTATCTTTGTCTTTTTCCTTTTCCTCTCATTCCACACGTGAAACCCTCCCATCCCCAACCCCGACATCCCCCACCCTCCCAAAACAGATTCATTTGGCTACACTTGAACCAGCCTCGCTCCCTGCCTCGTTCCTGTCTCATCTCTGGCCATGGAGCGCTGATACAACGGGGGGCTGCTGGGAGCCGCTGGGCTGAGAGACGGGGGGCCACATGGGAGTCTGTTGCATGTGGTGGTGGTGGTAGTGGTGGTGCATGTGGTGGCCCGTGGGTGATGACGGGGGCAGCCAGGCCGGCTGGTGGCTGGGTGGTGAGGAGGCCCAAAAGGAACTGAAGCCCGATGTGGAGGAGGGGGCTGGGGGGGAGCATGCCATGGACGCCTGGGAGGGGCCGCTGCCAACGCTGGAGCTACACTCAGACGCCCGCAGCTTGGAGAACATTGTGATGGCATCTGGGAAGTTCGGCGGCGTGGCAGGAGTGTTTCTGGGAGTGCACATCTGTGGGACCAAAAACAAGATGAAGAAAGTTAACAGGAAGCAGTTTTAAGCTTAAATAATCACCTCGATGGTACTGGACATAGGAATGTGATTCTAATCATAGTGTAACCATCAAGGTTACAAGGTTAATGTTTTTTAGTTCTGAGAAATTAGGTTTCATCTGTCAGTTTGGTGGATGACTCTAAATACTACAATACCCATAAGCCTCGGCAACTGCCATGGAGAAGAAGCCATTTAAAAGTGCGAGTCAGAGTGATAGCAAATATTAAAACGCTTCAATGTTGAATTTGTGAGCAAAACACATCACTGTTGTAACTGAATTCATCCATTGAACCAGCGCTTGTCAAATCAATATAACATAACACATCCATTTATGTTTCATTAAAGGGATAGTGCACCCAAAAATGAAAATTCAGCCATTATCTACTCACCCTCATGCCGATGGAGGCCCTGGTAAAGTTTTAGAGTCCTCACATCCCTTGCGGAGATCGGCGGGTGGAGCAGCTAGCATACCTAATGGTAGACGGCGCCCCAGACTAACGTCCAAGAACACAAAATTGAATCCACAAAGTATCTCCATACTGCTCATCCGTAGTGATCCAAGTGTGCTGCAGCCCGACATAAAAAGTTGTTTCGAAAAATGTCATATGAACTCTGTTTTTAGCCTCACTGTAGCCTGTAGCTCTGACTGCTTCTCTGTGCTCCGCGCTCACGTGTGCGCGCACTCAGGTTGATTGGTGATGCACGGTCTCTGAAGAGCAGCAGTCTCGTCAGTACTGATGTCCAGATTCTCAAGTGCAGGCATCGCCAATTCCCAGTCTGAGCAGCAAAGACTTTCCTCATCCGTTGGCATTGCTTTGCATTTGAAACAACTACACCACCAGGTTTCCAGTGCTCGACTCCGGTATTCTGCGGCTGGCTGAGGGTTAGGCTCATGAGCTGCGGCGGCTGCTTCGTCCAGTAGCCTGAGTTCCGTGCGTATACTCGGGCTCAAACAAATACGGCTCAACGAAGAAATGCTGTTCCTCCTCAATTTCAAAGTCTTCAGACATGTTGGGCTGTCCTTTGCTAAAAGACCGTAGTGCAAATTATCTTTTAGCTCTGTGGTTACGTTGTCTCTCCCTGCAGTGCACGTGTCACGTGATGTAAACACGGGTGAGCAAAGCTCATGCTTTCATTGGTCTCGTGCAGGCGTGCACATGTGAACGCAGAGCACAGAGAAACAGTCAGAGAAACAGGCTACAGTGAGGCTAAAAACAGAGTTCATATGAAGTTTTTCGAAACAACTTTTTATGTAACAGCTGCAGCACACTTGGATCACTATGGATGAGCAGTATGGAGATACTCTGTGGATTCAATTTTGTGTTCTTGGACGTTAGTCTGGGGCGTCGTCTACCATTAGGTGTGCTGGCCGCTCCACCCATCGATCTAAGGGATGTGAGGACTCTAAAACTTCACCTGAGCCTCCGTCGGCATATGGGTGAGTAGATAATGGCTGAAGTTTCATTTTTGGGTGCACTATCCCTTTAAGGCATAAAGTTACACATACAGGGCAGGCCGCTTTAAGTGACACACTGATAGTGTCCTCGGCTTCTCAGTCAGATCAACCCCTCGCTCCTCCATAGCACCAGCCTCTCACCCAAATATGGTCACTTCTGACTCTAAAAAAGATGGCAACGTCCATAAGGCCACACTCGAGGCTTTAAAATGGGAGTCCACAAACCGACTGGTGACGTCAGTAGCTAAATCCATTATTTTCACAGTCCATGGTTAAAACATGTCCTATAACCATAAACAAACCCTTAGTTTATTTATTGATTTCTTTAGTACGTTAAGACTAAACATGTTGTAATCAGCCTTTAAAACAAGAACTGTGTTTATGTTTTCAACTGTAGACTGTAAACTCACAGATCTACTATACTGTGGATAGTTCTGATCTGTGTGCAACACGCTGCTAAATGCCAAATGTCCTCAGTGAGAACATCAATTAAAGTGTAATTAACACACACACACACACACACACACACACAGATCAGGTAGCATACAGAAATAGAGGAGGGATCCTCTCAGCTGTGCAGCAGGAGGGAGGATGCTATATTTAGAGCAAACATACACATGCATGTTCATTAGGATGTTTCTGACCAAAACAACTATAATTCAACAACACTACTCAGCCTCCTGTGCGACTGTGTGAGACACTTTGTTTTGCTGCTGGAAATGTAATAACTGAATTTCATGCCACTAACACAAGACACCAGGGTCCATTACACAAAGGGCAATTTTTGTATTCAAGTTTTATTGGATCTTCCCTGACTCCTCACTTTAAAGCTGTAGTTATAAAGTTAACTGCTATACACATGTTCTTGCTCAATGCTTCAATTTCCTGCATGACATCAATTAAGTTTATCTTATATTGCTGGTTTGCCCAAATAACCAAACACTTTTATCTTTAGAAAAACACTGGCGTTTTGACCAGTGTTCAGGGGAACTGGAGTGGGATTTTGAAATTACTAGAACACATTAACTTTTGCAGTAGACCCACATGTCATCCTCTCTATATTAAAGATTTTTCTTTAAATTTCTGTCAAGGTGGAAAAGCTTTTGAAACACTGGGAGGCATTTCAAAAGGGCAAACATATCCAGTATTTCACAAGAAAAAAGGAATTATTAAATAACACTCATCTTTGTGTGGGAGAAGTATATTTTGTTTTGTTCTATTAAACTATCGAAGTAGATTTTATTGGATTTCTAGCTAGGTGTATCCAATGAACTGGCAACTGAGAATAAATATGACAGCAGAAATGACCCCTTAAAACCCTTTAGCCAGACACTATTCCTAAATGATTGTGCACAAAAGCAAATGTTTCAAATAAACAAAGCAGATTTTTGCTGAGGTTTCCTCATGTCTAAAATATGATTTGTAGGCCAGGGCCTCTCTATAGCACCACAATGCTTTATTTGTGATGATATGTTCTGACACATTTTACTTTCATTAAAAAACTGCAGCTCGGATCTGGATATTGCACTTGGCCATACTGCATTTTCGATAATATTTCAATTATTTGCAGCCCTATAGTAGCCTACGTTTATGTTTCCACAGAGAGCCAATGTACTATTGATTAATTCTATCACTAAAATGTCATCAGTCAAACTGGGCCACATTAAATGTTAATGACATTATCTAGATCTGACGTTATTATTAATAAACAGTAACAAACTGTCTGGTATATTCACACATTAACATGTGACTCATCGCTTTGAGGATGAAACGTAAACAGAAGCGTTCCTGCTCGGCTCCTCTGGGAGCGCCGGTGTTCAGGCTGCATCTACGTGTAAGTTACAAACAATAACACCTCTCATGACAATCTGTCACACCACACCACCACACACACACACACACACACACACACACAGAGTGTACACAGTGGTATTCCTTCTGCACACATGACCCTCATGCTTTAACAACATGTCACAGAACCAGTTTTTTTATCGGACTGATGACCTTCAATGTCATCAGAGCCTGAACTTAAAACAAGCCGCAGAAGCCGTTTTTTTCTTTGATTTTAATATTTAATTCTTTTTATCATCTGTTAAATATTTGCAACATCAGTTTTGTCTTCACGTCTGTTTTTATTGTAGATCAATGTGTGTTTGGTGTCTCAGATCTGTGTGACAAAGTCATAAAAATAGCAGTTTGACTAAGTCTGATCTCATTAGCTCTGAGTCATCTTCATGAAACAGTTCATCAATAGTTAGCTGATAGTCTCTGTCTTTATATTGTTCTTTTCTTCAGTGTCTAAGAAAGAGTTGATGACAAACTTTTCTTCGTCAGCAAAAAGAGTCCATCTTTCATTAAAGGCTCATTATTGCTGCAACACTGACTTCTTTCTCCTCCATGCTCACGGCCCTGAGGGCATCGTGGAGCCATGTTGGGACAGTCTGAGCGTAGGAGGAGGAAGATGAGAGAGGGGGAGGTCTTACAGTTGATGCTCAACCTGAGTTGCTTCACTCTTTCTCTCAGACCTCTGCAGCTGTACAGCCCTGTACTACTCCACACACACACACACACACACACACACACACACACACACACACAAACACAAACAAACACAGGAGCCCTAGGCGAGATGATGTCACCGCACTGCACCCAAAATAATAACAAACTCCTGCCGCTACCTCTCTCTCTCTCTCTCTCACTCACTCACTCACTCACACACACACACACACACACACTCTTCCTCCTTCCTCACCCTCTAAAGCTACAGCTCGCTCCGCCCAGAGCAACCGACAAGCACGTACACCAACACGAGAGCAGCCGGAGGAGGAGGGAAGGAAAACAGACTGAAAACAAAACATGGCTGCAGATGTCGGCATGCTCTTCCTGCATGATCGGAATCAGACAAATCCCGAGAGAGAAGATTCAGACATGCACACAGTTAAGAAACAGGGTTGCATAAGCAGAACCGGGCCAAGGACATGATGACGCAAATCTGCACAGCCACAGAATAATTATTTCATTCATTCAGACTCAGTTTTGTCCAATGAATCCTCTTCGTAAGCCAATAATTATTGCGTTACAGGGCTGCAATTAAAGATTAAACAGCTATTATGGCTGCACACACACCCTTCCTTACAGCATAAAGACACTTTTGATGTAACTGTGATCAGAGTGTGACACACCCTGTCATGTGTTTCAGTCCAAATGAGTTTCCTGCCCAAAAGCTAAACAACCATAAATTAAGATATGAATTTTAACCTAACAGATAGAAACATTAAGAGGAACCATTGTTTGTCACAGTTCAAAGCTCCCTTCACTTTTTAAATAGTATAACGTGTTCACTTGTGCTGCATTGGTGGGTAGTTCAGAGGGCCTGGGGATTCAGAGCGTTCAACAAAAACAGCTCACAACATCAGCTCAGCAGCTTAAGAGCAAATGTAGAGCAGGCAAGTTTAGTACTTTATAACCTGCTCTGGTAAATATGTTCTTTATGTGTTGTTTGTAGGAACAGTGTTGTGAAATCTTAAAGAAACACTGATCCCTGTTCAGCCCTGGACTTGCTCTGACTGCTGGGAGTCCTGCTGGTGTGTTAAACTCAGCTGTGTGTCTGCAACCAGCAGGTCAGTGGGTTCACCCATCCCACCGTCCAGTGCAAGGGATTCGGCCTCTGTTTAGCCGCACATGCCTTTTTTTCTTTTCAGGGGGAAGCAAATGGACTTACCATCTGGTGGTGGTGACTGGGGATGTTGGCCTCCTGGAAGAAGGAGCTTAAGGCCGTCTGCGGGGAGAGAAAGAAGAGGAGGATGCAAGGAAAGAGAGAGAGAGGAGATGTGTTATGAGCATTTTTATTTATTAAATTGAAACACCAACAACATAGAGCAAACATTTGTGTTCTTTCCCCATCCGGTCACCGAAAGGAAGAAGTGACCCATCCCCCCCTCTTCACTACCATCAGCCCTCCAGTCAGTTAACACAACTGGTCACGTGAGCTCAGGGTTAAAACTATTATCTCCATGCCGGGATCTAAAACAGGGTTTGTCGACCACAGCAAGGCTTGTTCAGATTAGCTTCAAGCTAAGGGACTCACTGATACAGAGCGTAAAACTTCACAGGAACACTGAGGTTGTATTACACTGGAACACCGTCTGAATTTGCTAATTTTACATTTAAGTTTCTGACCAGTTAAGTTTAAACATTTATTTTGTTATTTCTGAGGTGCAACAAAGCAGAGCTGTAACGAAAGACCTATGGCTGCAACTTATTTTCCATTAATTGATTGCTTTATAAGATCTTCTTAAAGCTCAAGTTGACATTCAAATTGTTTTAAGTGTTTTTTCTGGCCACTCGTCACTCAGTTGTCTCCAGTAGTGTAAAGTAGTTTAATTCAATTTAACAATTGTCTCTCAGTTTAATTAAACAAGTTTGAGAATTTATCATAGTTTATTTGGAATAAGCATATCATTTTGTGATAGATTCTACTGACTATTTAAACAAAAAAAAAAAAAGACAAAGATGGGTTTGCCTTTTTCAGGGGTATATATATACAGTACAGGCCAAAAGTTTGGACACGCCTTCTCATTCAATGCGTTTTCTTTATTTTCATGACTATTTAAATTGTAGATTCTCACTGAAGGCATCAAAACTATGAATGAACACATGTGGAGTTATGTACTTAACAAAAAAAGGTGAAATAACTGAAAACATGTTTTATATTCTAGTTTCTTCAAAATAGCCACCCTTTGCTCTGATTACTGCTTTGCACACTCTTGGCATTCTCTCCATGAGCTTCAAGAGGTAGACACCTGAAATGGTTTTCCAACAGTCTTGAAGGAGTTCCCAGAGGTGTTTAGCACTTGTTGGCCCCTTTGCCTTCACTCTGCGGTCCAGCTCACCCCAAACCATCTCGATTGGGTTCAGGTCCGGTGACTGTGGAGGCCAGGTCATCTGCCGCAGCACTCCATCACTCTCCTTCTTGGTCAAATAGCCCTTACACAGCCTGGAGGTGTGTTTGGGGTCATTGTCCTGTTGAAAAATAAATGATCGTCCAACTAAATGCAAACTGGATGGGATGGCATGTCGCTGCAGGATGCTGTGGTAGCCATGCTGGTTCAGTGTGCCTTCAATTTTGAATAAATCCCCAACAGTGTCACCAGCAAAACACCCCCACACCATCACACCTCCTCCTCCATGCTTCACAGTGGGAACCAGGCATGTGGAATCCATCCGTTCACCTTTTCTGCGTCTCACAAAGACACGGCGGTTGGAACCGAAGATCTCAAATTTGGACTCATCAGACCAAAGCACAGATTTCCACTGGTCTAATGTCCATTCCTTGTGTTTCTTGGCCCAAACAAATCTCTTCTGCTTGTTGCCTCTCCTTAGCAGTGGTTTCCTAGCAGCTATTTGACCATGAAGGCCTGATTCGCGCAGTCTCCTCTTAACACTTGTTCTAGAGATGGGTCTGCTGCTAGAACTCTGTGTGGCATTCATCTGGTCTCTGATCTGAGCTGCTGTTAACTTGCCATTTCTGAGGCTGGTGACTCGGATGAACTTATCCTCAGAAGCAGAGGTGACTCTTGGTCTTCCTTTCCTGGGTCGGTCCTCATGTGTGCCAGTTTCCTTGTAGCGCTTGATGGTTTTTGCGACTCCACTTGGGGACACATTTAAAGTTTTTGCAATTTTCCGGACTGACTGACCTTCATTTCTTAAAGTAATGATGGCCACTTGTTTTTCTTTAGTTAGCTGATTGGTTCTTGCCATAATATGAATTTTAACAGTTGTCCAATAGGGCTGTCGGCTGTGTATTAACCTGACTTCTGCACAACACAACTGATGGTCCAACCCCATTGATAAAGCAAGAAATTCCACTAATTAACCCTGATAAGGCACACCTGTGAAGTGGAAACCATTTCAGGTGACTACCTCTTGAAGCTCATGGAGAGAATGCCAAGAGTGTGCAAAGCAGTAATCAGAGCAAAGGGTGGCTATTTTGAAGAAACTAGAATATAAAACATGTTTTCAGTTATTTCACCTTTTTTTGTTAAGTACATAACTCCACATGTGTTCATTCATAGTTTTGATGCCTTCAGTGAGAATCTACAATGTAAATAGTCATGAAAATAAAGAAAACGCATTGAATGAGAAGGTGTGTCCAAACTTTTGGCCTGTACTGTATATAGCAAATGGCATTGTTTGGCACACTTCAATTTAATGAGCATTCTTCTTTAAACACATATTTCCAGGTTGGCAATCACTCATAAGGGCCCACACTTCACCCAACACATCGGTGGAGGGCCCACTCTCTTTATGGGTCCGATTGATGATTCAGATTGTTGTTGTTTTTAATCATCCAATGCAGGACATAAAAAACACATTAAAAAGTCACATCTGAGAATCTGTATGAAGTTCATTTTGTGTAAATATTTACTGAAAATATTTATGGCTTATTAAAGGAATACTTCACCAACAAAATGACCATTTGTAAATCAATTAGTCATGCTGTGTTTGGGAAGTACTGAGCACATGACTGGATGACTGACGCCTGGATTATACTGCATGAGTTGTGTGAGAATTTGTAAACAAATTGTTTTGATATAGTTGATATAGTTATAGTATGAACTTCCTTCTCTGGTAAAACAACATAGAGCTGAAAAAAATATTTGATTAAATGACTGACATGAAATTAATTGCCAGTAATTTTTATTATGGTTAATTGTTTTAGAAACTTTTGTATGCAAAAATGCCACACAAAAAAACAATGAACTTCTCAAATATGAATTCTTGCTGGTTTTCTTACTCTCCTGTGACGGTAAACTCAATTAAAGCTCAAACGATTAGTTGACCAATCACAGTTAGCTACCACTTTTGTCACGTTCACTAATTTCAGTTTCTGAAATGTGTGAATTTTCTGCTTGGCCTTGGTTTATCATACAGGAAGTTGAACTTCCTGAGGGTTGGGACATTTGAAAAAGTCTGGATTCTGAAAAGACAGACATTTTCCACTACTTTCTTACATTTTATCACCAAATGATTAATTCCTTGACAGAGAAAATAATTCATTATTAGTGAACATAATGATAAGTTGCAGCCCTACAACAACAAGAGTCCTGCCGGAGTATGAGAGCCAAGCGGGTGGAAAACACAAACACTATAAAATGTAAACAGCAGCTTTCATGGCTGCCTCCCTGCGCAAACAAGGAAATGAGTTGGCTTCTTGTATTGTTCCTCTTTGTTGTGAACAAAGAACAAACACACACTTCATGACCTCTGAGAAACAGAAACAATCGGCTGATAACACAGAAGACATTCCTCTGAGTGTGACTGCAGCCTGATTCATATGGATGATGGGAAATACTGAGGGTGATGTCATTCTTTGGAGGCTAATCAGTGTACGAAGTGAAGTAACAACTCTACAACTAAATTAACTTTATTACAAAATGTAGGGGTTTCTACAAAAGGAGTTATTAATAGATGCTGTTCCCTCACAAGTTGTTTCACTTTTTAAAAAGGTGTTAAGAACAATTCCACCTCCAAATCTTAATGCAGATGGAAAATACAATCACAACCTGGGAAAACATGTCTAAAACTCTTTTGTCCTGCAGCTTAACAGCAGGAAGTGTTAGCTTTCTTAAAGTAAAATTCAATCAAATATAAGGCTGCACTGTGTTTCTTTACAGGGGCCAAAGTATCAGACAGGAGTGTGAGCTTGTTTTACTGCTCAGCGTAGCCTCCATTTCCCTTCACTGGAGGCCTCTTTGTCGCCAACACTTCAGTGAATGCAGTGGTTTCCCCCCACAGACTAACCCCAGTCCTCCTCCCCTCCTCCCACAGTCTGGTTGTTTGACAACAGCAGCAGCAGCGCAGGAATGTCTGCCGTACAACGTGACACACATCTCAAAGCGTGAAAGTGCTTTGCTGCTTTTGTGTTAAGAGCCACTGAGTCCATGCTGCTCTTTGTCTCCTCTCAGTTTATTTCTCAGGACCCAGTTTGGTCACCGATGTCACACTGTCCATTCACATTTCCTGCTGCTGTAAACACAAACATTGTGGAGGGAACTTCACATGGAAGAGCTCAATGGAACTGACCTGCAACGGACTAACAGGGTTTTACCAGAGTTTCCTTATAAGCTCCTGCACTGGAGACTTTATTTCTTCAGTAGTGATAAAAAAACAAAAAAAACAAAACAGAAAACATTTAAGTGAAGAAGATGTTAATGTGATGAAGGTGGATATTTTCAGAGTAAAAAATGTAACTTTTAATTCAGTGTGTTGTTGCATAAAGTCAAGATGAAATGAAAAATGCCTGTTTTACTCTTTCAGATCTCATCTCTGGTCATACTGTGTACCTATCCAATAATATCTGCCAAAAATAAATAAATTTCTTCATATTGTTATATCAGAATCATCAAAAATGATGTTTTCTTCCTGTAAAACAAAATATAACGTGTGCTTATGTAAGCTAGTACCAACCAATGACATCTACCCATCAATCAATCTGCAACTTTAAGCTGCACATAGCTAAGATTAAGTTGGCTTGCTAGCTTCCTTGACTGATGGATACTACTATGTCGTCTGTGAATTTAATTTTCCTAAGACAGTAAAGGTATGACCCCCTCTACTCTCCCTCTGATTGGCTATTACTCATTGCCTTCATTAGCTGGGTTGGTTAGATTTAGGCATGAGGAGTGAGACTGGTTAAGGCCCAGACACACTAAGCCAACATCAAAGAACTGGCAGCGACGAAAGCTGCCTGTTGCCTGTTTTGTGCACAAAAATTTGCAAATGAACAAACTGCAAAGGCTACAGCTGACGGCCAACCAGCACGTATGTTCTGCGCCTGTGTGAGAGGACATAACTCACCATTCAAGTAGAGGGCAGTAGTTTGTAAACCTCAAAAGGGAAACCGGAAGCCCGCCATGACACTAGTTAGTCATTTAGCACATTAACAACACAATTCAATGTTAAAAGAACAAAGCATATTTACCGTGTGCTTTTGAACAATAACAAACCATCACAAAAATTTTCTGCTAAAGAGCCCTGTAGGGGTACTGTTCCAGATGAGCAAATGTAACATTGGGAAATATTCGGCCCCTGTTCACATCTGTTCAATGTGAGCAGAGGGGCGAATAAAAAAATTGCTTCTGGTTGCAAAACAAATTTGGATCTTCGCATCTCGTGGAGTTCCAACTTGGGTGAACTTTGACTGGCCAAGTCACAGCCTCAACCATTAGCAAAGGAGTATGTATGAAGGAGACATCTATTTTTGACAGGCATGGAACGCAAAAAATGGAAAATGCACCAGTAACATCATATTTTGTGGTATTTATTGGCAATAGCTGCCAACATAAGCTAGCGAGCTAGCTTTCCATATGTGTCACATCTGGCACTGCCTACATTCAGAACAAATATCACAACAGCTCATGTGTGACTGTGCCATAATTCTCTGTTTGACACACCCGCTTTTCAATGATCAGATCAAATTCCTCTCCATGTTATATCTGCCCTGTCATAATACTCATGCTAGATACTCTCGAAAAGTGTTGGACATCATACAGAACACAGGTTAAAAGGTAGTAAATGTATGGGGCTGGGACTGACAGAACCTACATGTACTTATTGGTGTTTTTTATCATGTGCGGGCATAAAAAAAGAGACATAATACTGCATTCAATGTCACAATATCAGCCATTTCAGTCACAGTTTTCACAGCATTTAGTTACAATACAGTCTCTTCATAAAACACAAATTTTGTCTTGCCATCGCTTTGTAGGAATAAAAGTCCAACTCAAACAATATTAACCTGCAGAAACATCAAAGGAGTTGCATCATTTTCCGACCAGATTATCTATATATGTTAAGTTTATAATATGCATGCTGCATTAATGCTGTTGCAGCTCTGGCTGAGGACAGAAGATGCATTCAGCCTCGGCTCACAGCCAGAACCAGAACACTGAGAATAATCAGGCCACTGCTGTCACACCGACAGAAACAATAGTCTGTTTACTACGTTCTCACACTGACAGAGAGGAGCCAAACACAAACAGCACCTTGTATTCTCCAGTCTCACACACATGCATATCAGAGCTGAAACTATCAGCCAAATAACAGATTACTGATGATTTAAGTCAGTTATCAAGACAAAAACACCAAATGACATTTATTTCCATGGGTTAGTGATGATTTTGTACTTTCTGTAAGTATTGTTTCTTTTTGTTGTTATCATTTTATAAAAAAAAGCCACTGGACGTTTTTTCCTTTTGTTAAAAAAAAAAGGATAAAATGATTAAGCAATTATTGAAACAGTTGAGAACAATGAGGTTAATCCTGCCATAAAGAATTCACAAAATTCAAAATCAACTCCATATTAGTCGTATGGCTAAACAAACGACAATAACCCTACCCCTCTATCACAAATCATAAATCTGAACAGCATATGACAAACATTATTCTTAGAGCCTCACTTCTGATATGGACGACGTCAAAGGTCAGATTAGACGCTCATGCAGGGGGATGTCCTTGTATTAAACTAAACATTTCTCTGGCCCGTGCTTTCATCACTCAGATGTTTTTTCCTTTGTGTTGTCTTCCAGGGATCTGCAGTGTTATGCTGTCCTGGTAACATAAAAATTATTCACTCACTGCAGTGACAGAACAATGGTCTCTAAATACTGACTAGTAGTAAGTTACAAAACACGTTCTCAGCTTACACTCCTGTTTCAGTTTATTAACAGTCAAATGTTCAGTATGTCTGTTGCCATGACTGAAACAGTTAATCAGTTATCAAAATAGCTGTAGATTAATTTTCTGTTGACGTGAATTATCAATTGTGAATTATCGACTTGTTTCAGCTCTGCAGCCAAAAGGTCTTTATTTAAACCAAAATAAACCAACTCCCTGACTCACTGCAGCCCTGAGTGCGTCTGACACATCTGAGCTCCTGAGCAAGTTAAGTCAATCACAACAAACACCTGAGAGGAGCCTTCTCCTCCTCCTCCTCCACCACCTGGCTCGACTGCAGCCCAACACTGACCGCTCAGCCCCAACAGATGGAGGTGTGGTCTGAGTAGGACCATCTGGTGGCTCAAAAGTTAGACATCCCTCAGGTGTCTGTCAGCTGTTCAACCGGCCTGATATATATTACACACTAGCAGCCATCAGGCTTGCACAGACACTGTGATGTTTGCACTCTAACCCTGGTCAGCTGACATGAACAACCATGTCGAGACTAGCTGCAGGGCTCCAACTAATGTTTATTTACGTTCCTTTTTGTAGTTTAACAATTACTGTATTGGTTAATTACTTGGTCCATAAAATGTTTAAAATAAAAAATGACATAAGTTACATCATAGTTTCCAAGAGGGGTTCAAATATCTTATTTTGTCTGATCAACAGTGCTAAACCCAAATAGGGTCAGTTTATAAAAGCAGCAAATACTAACATATGAGGAGCTGGAAGCAGAGAATACCTTTATTAACTACTCATTTCAACTTTTAATAAGTGCTCACAGCACAGAAAGTCCTGTATATGAGAACAGCTGGAAGGATAATGCATCTTAATCAGTCTATTTATAACTGAACAAGACTAGGATCAATGTCAGACCACTCTAAGTACAGTAAGTCTAACCTCTCTATCCGCTCTTGTGGAGGAAGTATTCAGATCCTTGACTGAAGTAAAAGTACTAATGCTACACTATGGAAATACTCCACTACAATTAAAAGTCCTGCATTCAAAATCTTATTTAAATAAAGGTATTTAAGTAGTATTAGCAAAGTGTACTTAAAGTATGAAAGTAAAAGTATTCATTGTGCACATTAAGCACATAAAGAAACACTTCCTCCTTCAGTTTATCACAAATATTCATCATGAATACAACTGGAGATACATGGTTTTCACTGAAAGGGGAAGGGAGGGGATGAAAACTGTAATATGAAAAGTAACTGAAGCTGTCAGACAAATGTAGTGGACTAAAAGTACAATATTTATCTCTGAGATGCAGTGGAGTAAAAGTATTAGGTTGAAATAATAATAGTACCTCGAATATGTACTTCAGATTAGTACTTGAATAAATGCACATTCTACCCCTGAAACTAAAATAATCCACTTCAGCAAACAGTCTGTTAAACTATAGAAATATTTTTCCCCTGATTAGTTAAATAACATGAAAAGGCAAAATGTGATAGAAAGATTGTACTTAATCTGTTTGGCAGGGAGGGTTTGGCAGTTTATCATTCTATGAGATTTGATCTGAACAAACAAGCCAAACCTGTAGTTTCTACTCACTAAGTAATGGAAGAGAACATGCTATGCAAAAGGCCTTGTTGTCTGACAAGATGGCATCAGTGATTTTGGCACTCCACGTTTACATAACCCTTTTTATTTCCAGTGACAGCCATTAAACCATAAAACAATAGCCTAGCTCGAGCGACTATAATGTTTTATGAGGGCTGCTAGGAGCTAGGCTAACAACAATTAGCTTGGCAATGACACGGTGAATTCCAGTCGAGAATGTAAACAAAAAACGGCGAGGAGGCTACCACGTCCTCAGTGCTGCTAGCTTAGCTGGTGTTAGCTACAGGAGCGCATGGTCGTGAAGAAGGACACAAACTACTTTAAATAAACAACACGAGGGGTTAATTCAAACGTTTCAAGAGCTCATAGATGGACTGAAGATTAAATAAACGGCCACACATTACAGAGACGACTAAAAAGCGTCCAGTCTCACCTCAAACTGCCAGTGGGCCGCTTGTAGGAGCTGCTTCGCCTGATCGGCGGCGCATCCAGCCGTCAAAACAAACTGGTTGATCATGACTTGATGTCTGAGTTCGTCCATATTCACCGACATGACAGCTTTCCCCGCAACACGCAGTTGCTTTAAAGTCCAAAACAAAACAAAACTAGTTAAACCTTCACTCGGATCGACTCCTGTGAACCCTTCAGACCCCGGTCCTCCCTGCCTGCCTGTCTGTCTCCCACCGCCGAGTCTCCGCAGCTTCCAGCAGCAACAACAATATTTTCATGTCACCACCAACAACAAAGAGGAGGACGCTCCTGATTGGACCGCTCAGGAGCCAGAGGAGCGCTGATTGGCAAAAGCATTTAAACTTACCGGTGCGCTTGGTTTAGGTATCTGACACACCGCCGAGGAGTGGAGTCGAACTGAGTTATAGTCAATACTGAACTCCCCGCCCTCTGTGGTTGACTTGTCGGTTTGTCCATTCAATTTAATCCATGTGCGTTTCACTGACGTCATGATTGCTTGAATAGTTGGCGTAAATCCATACCTATGATTGGCTGTTTCGTTTGGCAGGTATAGGAAGTAAACATGAAGCATGTTGATGTGTACCATATGCACATATAAACACAGTAAATACTTTTACCATTAATATTTATATGTTTTTATTATTATCATTTTATTATTTTTGATAGGTCCATTTGAGATTGTTGTATATTATAGCACATTACATTTGATATTTCACGTTATGCAGCAAAATATGTTTTATCATTATTATTATTATTACTAATACTATTGTCGTTGTTGTTACATTGCACCTTATACTAGGCTATATCTTACATCCCGTACTATACTGTGTCATACAATATATTACATTTGATATTCTGTGTTATATTGCTGCACTATATTGTGTATTATCTTATTAATATTACATTGCATTGCACCTGATGCTATGTCTTTTGTCCCACACTATACTTAACCATACTATATCATCCTACATTGTGTTAGTATGTTATATACTCTCTTTCTACATTGTATGTTATATTTATTTTATGTTGATATATGAATACAGACAACACTATGTATCATTACTTAATTACACTGTATATTATTTTGGTTTAAACTGTTTATATACTAGACTCGCTGCTATTAACCATATCATGTCAGATTTTCCTTGTAACTATTTTCTTTAATTGCTCTCATATCATTTCACTTTTTACTTCTATTATTACTCAAGTTGCATATAACTCTTTTTCTTACTTTCTCTATTAATCTGTAGTTGTTATTGTCTTTGTGTTGCTGCAACGCCTGAATTTGCCCTCTGGGGATAAGGGTTAATCTTCTCCTAAGTTATCTTATCAAATATCTTTTCAAAGAGCTACTGAAAACGCATTATGTATATATGCACATGGCCATATATTAACATATATGTTAAATAATGGACTATATTAAGCATGTGTACATACTGTATATTGACACATATACTTATATTTGTTTATACATATGTAAAATATGCTAATCCAAAATATATTTTCTATAACACATCTGTGACAAACTCTCTCAGGACGCTGCAGGGTTTATATAAAAAGTATGCAAAACAACAAAAATATACAATATATCCATACCTCATGTCATATCAGCATCTGTTTTGTTAAATATTCTGATTATAAAGACATATTTCCGATGTATGCTATGAGACATAGCATACATCTTGGACTTAAATCCATGATAAATGAAAAGTGATGTCCACCTCAGAACCCTCTCATAAATATGGCCATTTTTAAAACCAAGTAGAGCACTGATTAACAATAAAAAATGTATCTTACAAATAAAAATAATCCACCAAGCACAAGTAGCGAAACAAAAAAAACAGTTCATCAATGGATAGAAAAGGAGATTAAGTAAGGGCTCATAAAACATCCTATTATAAAAAAAAAATGGAACAATGACAACTAAGGTTTGATCAATAAAGAAACAAATGATTTTTTTTTTTTAGAAATCGGAAACACGTGCATTACAGAAAATATAAAAAACAAAGAAAAGCCAAATGTACCACTAACAATAAAATTAACATGACATAAAGATAAATATATGTAATTGATGTTTACAGACATAACATACAAAAGCTAGAAAAGCAGCCTTTTATTGATTATTATCTATTGTTGTAAGCTCTGGTTTGGTTGAAGAAAACCATGTGAGGAACAAGTGTCTGTGCTTTGAAGGTCTATTTTATAATCAGCATTTTAATTTTGGTATCCTACAGCACTTTGCCTCCTGAACTGACATGTATGGGACATGCTATGTACTGAGGACTGACTGGACCAGAATGTTTCTCCTGATAGAGCAACTCTAATCTTCTTATCATGTGAGTGAGGTTCTTATTGGTCTCTCTTTGTGAATAATTCAGCAGTGGTGCAGGTGAAAGCACATGTGACAGAGGAAGTCTATCTATTATGTGTTGTTGTTATTACCTGAAGGGTGTTTGGTGCTTGACAACAGAAAGCTCCTGAAATAAGACTGACAGCTTTAAGTGTATTGTATATTTAACTTCTTAAAGGGACAGTTTACCCCCAAAATCAAAACTGATCATCAGTCCAGATTGTTTTGGTGTGACTTGCTGAATGTTGGAGATAAAGGATGTAGAGATACCTGCCTTCTCCTCAATATAATGGCACTAGATAGCATGCATTTCCTCATGGACAAGAGGCCCGTGCATACAAGATACAAACATTAGCTAGCTCAGTGGTGCTAGGTGAGCTAGCAGTAGCCTAGAAGCTAGCTCTAAAACTAAAACTAAAACTAAAACTCTAAAACTAATATTTTTAGTCCAGGACTTTTGTTGTAAGAGAGTATTTTTACAGTATGATACTAGGTTAGTCACATCTTCATGATGCCATGAAAAGACTGTAAAGTCATCATTGCAGGGGAAAGATCTAATATTGAGGGACACATAGTTTCACAGTCCAGTGCCAATGATTAAAACATTTTGGATTTTAACAGGAAATGTGGAATGGTGAGCAGTGATTGGTTGGCACCTTCTCCTACATAGAATTGGATGCTGTTTTTTTAGTTTCTGTTTCCTGGAGTTGTTGTTCACTCATCCCCACTGAAATGCTGCTGTCTGTAAATCAGCTGTCTGATTGGTTAAAGGACATTTCTACACTAAAACAAGACCATACAGTAAAGAGGTGGGACTTTATTTTAAAGCTCTAGAGTTAATGATTAACATGAATCTGTCTCCTCAAACTGGACTTTGTCACAGAGGGCTCCACAGAGAGTCCTGGTTGTTTTCTAAAACCACATGTTGGAGGCCATGATATGGATTTCCCTGTGACTACTCCTCCACCCACCCACTCAGGTGTTATTATGTGACAGAAATGATTCAGTGTGAGTTAACAAATAACTACAAGTTTCTACACCAGAGTCTGGCTTAATTATACCACATTGTAAAAGATACTCTGTTGCAAGTCCTGCATTGAAAATGTTACTTAAATGAAAGTTGTAAGTACAATCAGTAAATGCACTTGAAGTGTTAACGTAGAAAAATGTTCAGGGGGACACGCCACAGCCAACACAACCTTGTCCTCTTATCCACTGACTACAATTAATTTACAGGCCTGTATTCACGGTTTTTGTTGTTTTGTCAGTATTTTGTATTGTCTTGCAAAAAAGTTGAAATTGTTCCCTGTGACTGCTATACCATCATATATTATGTCGTTATATCATTATGTATCATACATTCATGTAAAAGCAGGGCTGTACTGTTGTAGTTGGTTGATGTGGAGCTCATTTTGAGCATTAACTAATGATTTTTTTTTTTTTTATTAAGCATTAATTGGCTGATTATTTTCTCCATTGATCGACTGATTGGTTTAAAAAAATACTAAAAATGGTATTGTAGTAATAATGGTCATAGTAGTAGTTGTAGTAGTAGTAGTAGTAGTGGCAGTAGTAAAATATGTATACTTGCATTTACACTATATTCCTTTCTGGTGCATATGATGCCAATTATGTCTTTTGTAGTAACCTGCGTTATAAGCTTGAAATTTCGTTTCTACACTTTCTAATAAAGGTGCACAATAAAAACAAACATGCACAACTTCTATTCCAGTGAGTGAGACAGCACATGGTTTATTCTGTCATTACATTGTATCGGGCGCCCTCTTCTGTCCACCAGCTAGCACTACTTCGAAACACAAAAGGGCCACAGCAAAACAAACGTACTAGATTTAAATTTAAAAGCCTTATAACCATTTAAATGAAAGATTTTTCGACATAACTCGTGTGGGTGGCTATACAAGTTCAAGATCAACTTTATTTTCATTTCCACATCGAGAGTACATGGGAATGAAATTGCGCTTTCTCCCAGCCCCAAGGTGCCATCATACACTTACAAAATATAAAAATAAAAAATATATACATATCACACATTGCAAGTATAAAGACATAAAGATAAAAAGCTACAAAAAATATATATACACATACACATCACCTCAAATTATAAAAGATATATACACTTCACACACATATATGTATATATGTTGTGTATATATCACGCATATATATACTGTACTAGACCTACACTGTATTGATATTGATAATTTGCAAAAACTCAAACTACAGCCTTATTTTGGCTTTAAACTGACTTCAAGCTGTCATGGTTCTGGTTTGACAACTTTTCAAAAAAAAAGGAAAAATGACATCACAGTTTTCCAGTAGCCGGGGTCTTACCCCACCAACAATGTAAAACCTGAAGATATTTAGGCTAGCTTTTCATCATATAAGCCAAAAAAGGAGAAAATCTACACAATTGAGATGCTGGAAATGGTGAAAGTTATTGAGTAAAATAAATTTCAATTATTCATTGTAGAAGGAATGCAGGATTTTTTCAAAATGTAACAAGGTTTTAAATAATTTGTCTGTATCTGAAGCAAGACTAGAAGTCATCTTCAGCCACAGAAAATCAGAAAATTCCACAACTTTCTTCTTTTTTTCTATAAACAGGCTGCCATTAATTTTAAATATTTCAGAAAAATATTAATCAATAATATTTTACTTCACCAAGCTATGCAGTGTGTTCAGGAACAGATATACTCATTTAGGACTGTGAACCTGTTGTAAATTATTTCCATATAAACTAGTTGTAAAGGGCACTTTTCAAAAGTGCTTTTAATATGAGATAGGCTAAGATTTAAGATCAACATGTTTAAGTAATTTTCCAATAAGTGAAAGAAAATAAATGTTAGTTACAGTAATTTACCTTTTTTTTTAAAATTATAATATCCACTATTTAACATTTTCTTTAAGCAGTGTTTCTTGCAGATTGACTCTCTGAGCCTGCAGGATATTTTGTGTTTGAAGACAAACCTGTCTGCATGATATTTCTGTATTTCATTGATCTGCATTTATTTGACCGTGTGTGTTTGTATTTATGTGTGTGTCCTTCTCTGTCTGTGAGTCAAGTCCACCATCAAACTTCAGCTTCATCTCGCTCTATAATCCCTTTGTAGTCCTGAGTCGACTCCCTGCCCCTCCTCTCTGTGAGGTTACTGTGGTTGGCTGCTCCCACTTTAACCTCTGACCTCTGCTGGAGGTGATGTGATGCGACAGGGGCCAGGGGAGGGATGAGGACTGTCTCAAGACGCTGTCTCTTTGGGAGCGCTGCCCCTACAGGGTTTGAACAATGAGACATGACAACAGACAAATGTTGTGATCAGTAACAAGGATGTAAGGAGTGAAATAAAGACCAGTACCTGTGTCCGACTGGTTTTACTGGTTTGACTATGCTGCTGCTTTCTCAGCCATCACAAACTGAAAGCAGACAATATTATATTATTGTTTCAATCTTTCCCTGCTTTAGTGGTGTAAAGTAACTAAATACAGGTTGGAAGTACTTTGTCTTAATTTACATATTTCCATTTTATGGCACTTTATCCTTCTTTTCACTACATAGCAGAGACAAATATTGTACTTTTTACTTCGCTACAGTTATCTGACAGCTTCATTTGCAGCCAAACATACACTCATATATGAGTGTTCAAATGTCAGACTCCATGGCTATGGATTTGCTGACAGCACTTCTGTACTTGTATCATTTTGAATGTATGACTTTTACTTATAATGGAGCATTTTTGTATTGTCGCGTTACTTTTATTCAAGTAACACATCTGAATATTTCTTTTTACAACTGCAAATATGTAAACTAAGACCATTAGAGATGACAGGAGGCTGATATTCTTTAGCTGCTACAAATTAAACACAGTTCAAGGTCATCAAATGATGGATCTTGGTGTCTCAAACTAACGTCATCCTTTAAGAAAATGTTACTTAAGAAGTTTTCTTTATTAAACAAGTTGGTTACATTACTTCACCTTAATACATACTGTTGTCTGCATGTTGTTTGTCTCATTTGTCTCCTGTTTGAAACCTTCTTGATAAGTTTTGGTGTTTATATTTTGCTAAATTGAACTCCTATATTTTCATTTTTCCCCACTTTGTACTGCAACTGCTGCACAACAATTTCCTTTGAGATAAATACAGTTGAATGTTTTCTTTTCTTCTCTTTAAAACAATTAGTTTGGGACTGGAAAATGTCAGTTAATGTGCACAAATGACTTTTTTTTTTCAAGTCGATCACAGGGGCTCTTCATATCCAGTGAGTGAAGCACACCTGTTTTATTGTTTTTGTTTTATTTTTGTTTTTGTTTTCTGCTTAGAGCAGTGAAGTTTAATTAGTTTCATCTCCATCAGTGTATGTGAGCAGCGGTGGAGATAAGACACTGTGCAGTATTTGACCCATTAAAAGTAGCAGTCCTCAGTAGCCAACCGGTACTCCATGTCCAACTTTGAAGAGACGTCAGGACTCGAGAGATGAGGAAGCCTTTTTATTGCTTTACAGTTGTCTTTGTGAGGGGCCTCAGGAAACCACTCAGCCACACTAATAGAATGTTCAAGGGGCCAAACCTTTTTGTTTTGCCTTTCTCTCCCTTTCTGACGTATGAACAAAAGTGCATTCCTTCACCCCCCCCACCCCACCCACAATCCCCTCCAAGTCCAAAGTTAGTTTGTTACTAATTAAATATATTCAGAGATGAAGCCAGAGCTTCTTTCTACTTCTATTTTCATCATGTGTAGAAAACAAGCAGACAAACAAGCAGACCAGCTGTGGAAAATGTACACAGAGAAGTAAAAGCCATTCCATTACAAGTAAAAGTCCTGCATTTAAAATCCTACTCCAGTAAAAGTACAAATGTATTCTCAGCTTTATGTAGGCCTAGTTAAAGTATCAGCAGTAAAAGTAAATGAGTATTCTCAGCTTCCTAAAGTTAAAGTACACAAGTATTATGTGCTTCAGGTAGTTACAGTATCAGCAGTTAAAGTACAGAAGTATTGTCAGTTTCATGCAGTAAAAGTACATGTTGTGTATTAAAATCTCTCCTGTGACTGATATCTAATTCCATTTGACATTATTAGACATTTGATTCTGAAGCATCAATGTCAGAGCAGCATGTTCCTGTTCCAGTATACAGTTAGCTAATTTTGTCCAGTGGTTCCTAACCTAGGGGTCGGGCCCCTCCAAAGATAAATAAATCTCAGGAGTGAGATGATTAATGGAAGAGAGAAGAAGAAGAAGAAGAAGAAGAAGAAGAAGAAGAGGAAGAAGAAGAAGAAGAAACTAAGTTGTGTTTTCAGTTTTTGGACTTTCTCTGCTCTTTATTTTTTGTGAAATATTAATCATTTGATCAGTTAATGAAATAAAGCCATGTGGTAAGTTTAGAGGAGAACTGTCTCTGTGGTGGTGGAGAAGAGACACAACTATGCTTTGTTTTTATATAAGGAATCGCGAGACAAACAAGCTGTGCTCTATTGATTTAATCTTTAAACGTTGTGTTCTTTAAAGTTATCATATATCTTTTTTTAATATACAAAATCTTAATCTGAAATGTGACCAGTAACTAAAGATGCCAGATTAATGTAGTGGAATGTAAAGTATCTTTAAATGGAAATAGTCAAACAAAGTTTAAATGTCCCAAAATTGTACTTACATGTGACTTTCCAACACTGCATATCTGAAATACTTCTGATATTTGAAGCTTCATATCTGGCTTTTTTAGGCTATATTTAGGCCACAGTCAGTCACTCTTTTATGTTCTGAAATTAATTAAATATCTGGAGTTTAATTACTGAAGAATTAGAGTAATCCTCAGGTTGCTCTAGAAGGTCCCCTGTTGGGTCCCCGGGCCTCATCTTGAGAACCTGCACGGCAGCAGCCTCAGTTGACTTGAGAGTGATTAAAAATGAAGCGCTATAGAAACCAACAGGCCAATGGAGGACCGGGAAGCTGTTTACAAGGGGGGTGTACCGTTTCTATGGTTGCTGGACAAACCTCCTGCACCAGGTATTAAACTGCCTCCCCGACGGATCCTGCAGCCCACTGACACCCGTTACAAAGACCTGCACAGAGGAGAAGAAGCGCCCAACATAGCGCCAAATAGCATCCACAGGAATTCCTCTTTTTCTTTCTCTCACTTACAAGTTGACAACAGGTGCACTCAAAGCAGGCTGAGGCTGAACATTCAATACGTGCTGCACGTTTGGGATTTAAAAGGTCTCTGCTCAACGTAACAGTAGACAGAAGGTGAGTTTTTAAAATTTATTCACTGTAGATTCTTTCATTTATCCCCTGAATATATCACACTGTAAACTGCTTCTGAGGGCCTTAAATATCGGTGCCAGTTTGGATAAATTTATAAGTATAATAATGATAATAATAATCATTAAAAACATATGTATATATTGCATTACACTAACAAGCATATTATTTTACTGAATCACATTTGGATATTGAAAGTAAAATAATCAGCAATTTGGTAGTTTTAATAGAAGTAAACCATGTCCAATTATGCGGATTTTACACGTAAAACGTCCTTAATGTTTGGATTTTGTCATAAGTGTCACCATCACTCTATCCTAAATTATAATAAAACAATTTGATAGAATCCCTTTCTTTAGTCATTTAATATATTTGTGTGAGTTTAAAGCCTGCAGATGTAGCTGGTATGGATGTGCGCTCTTTTCTGCGCTGAGCGTAAAGTGCGCACCAGAGTTTTTCAGGAAAGTTCTGAGAGGAGGCTGCTGCTCAGAGACACGGGGGGTTTAGATTCTTCGAATATTTCTAAACTTAAGTTTCCACACGTTTTCATCACAAAGACATTCAGGTGACAGACTTGCCACTGGATTTAAATCTACAAATGTGAAAGTCTCTCACTTTACGCACAAACGCACACACAGAGGCTCTGTTTTCAAATAGGGCCATCATTGTCCTGCCCTTTCGCACTTTGTTGAAGTCGGGTCTATATTTTCGGTCCTATCAGGCGGTGGCAGGGGGAGGAGGAGAAGGAGCTGGGTGACAGAGAGGTGTTGGAAAGAGCCATGCTGTCTCTGAGCTGTGCGGACCCCTGGCCTGAGGGCTCAGTGGGGCTTGAGGAGGAGGTGGTGACCGCCGCTGCCCAGGCGGAGGAGCGGGACAGCGTCCACAACAACAGCAGCTGCATCTCCGTTAACCTGGATGACAGTCTGACCAGCCTGCAGTGGCTTCAGGAGTTCTCCATCCTCGGTGCCAACGTGCCACAGCAGGCCCACCACCAGCCGCACCTGTTCGGCCACCAGCCGCTGGGCACCGACGCTCCAGCCTCCCCTCTGGCCGGGGACCCCGCCTCCATCGGCATGCCCCTGACCCCGGGGAAGCCCACAGCGGCGGCCTACTGCAGGATGCAGACACTTCCCGGCATCGTGGCTCACGGTCACTGTCCAGATGAGGTGGACTACAAGACCAACGCGCACATCAAGCCACCCTACTCGTACGCGACGCTCATCTGCATGGCCATGCAGGCCAGCAAGAAGACCAAGATCACTCTGTCGTGCATCTACAAGTGGATCACCGACAACTTCTGCTACTACCGACATGCTGATCCCACCTGGCAGGTAAAAGACCACACACACACACACACACACACACACACACACACACACACACACACACAGTTGTTTTCTATTTACAGAACAGTAAAAAGAAATCAACATAGTGAGAGGCCTGGGCCTGCAGCCACTCTGAAGTATTAGTGACTTAAGCTGTGTGAGGAATTAATAATTCCGGAGGTCATTGATGCTTCCCTTAGGTGCACAAAACCTTAATAGAAAAAATTAACTAAACTCTTTACTCCTTATTTTTATCACATTGCTTTTGCTAACTGTTTTTTGTGCTCCAACAAAAACAAGTAATGGAGGAGGAAAAGGAGGCACAGCAGATTCCCCCTACAAAGGGCAGGAATTTTTTGGGAAAAAAGTTTAATTTAGCTGGATAAATGATTGATGAAGCTGTTAGCTGTACTCCTGTGCTTCAGCGTCTGGCTCAGACGTTTCAGAGCATTCTGTTATTGTAAAGCAGTACATGGGGCAGATAATATTTAACAAAGGTCATCGGGTCACTGCTCTATTTAGACTCCAGTGAAGAAGAAGAAGAAGAAGAGGGGGCGGGGGGGCAGTGGATGAATGCAAGCATACACAGTGGATTAATGTGATGTATGGTGCTCTGTCATTTGTACTCCCAGCCACCAGACTGTGGTGGCTTCCTTTTAAAGGGTTAGTTCAACATTTTTAGCTAATTTGCTTTCTTGCAGAGAGTTATGCTGCACACACACAATGGGCAAAGCAACCACAGGCTACAAGTCATTTCAGGAAGCCAGTGACATGAAGCCACAAACTGATCTTGTCACTGCAGACAGGCATGATGTGTTACAAATCAAAGATGAGCTGGCCTCAGTGAAGCGTCAGCCAATCATATGTTTTTGTTTCTTGCTGTGGTACTGTGTTACTTGGTATAGCTAGCTGATGCTATGCTATCTTTATGTGCCTTGCGGTGCACACAGAATGCAATGGGGCAGCGAAATGTGACGTTGAAATGGGGCTCATTTTTTTGAAGTACAAACTTAAGATGACGTTCAATCAAACTGCTTTGTAGCAAGACACAGCGGACACACACAAGCCCAGGACGACATAGCTAGTTTAATGAGTGCCTGAGCAACACTTAAAAGGTGCAGGCAATAATGTAGCTGGTGACTCTATTTCATTATCACTCGTATGAACACAGCATCAGATGTTCAGATTGATACAACTCTCATGTCTGTACAGTAAGCAGTTTGCCTTTTCCTGGGATGGCAATGGCGTGACCCGCAGTACTCTGCCTCTGACTGGCTAGTACTTGTTGCCTTTGTTGGTTTGATTGGTTAGGTTAGGTTTAGGCAAGAGGAGTGAGATCAAAATGTCAGGGTGAGCCAGAGCAGGGTGGGTCATGCCTTCGCAATCCTAAGAAAAATATGTTTGAGTACAGTAAATATAAAGCTACAGCTAGCAGCTGGTTAGCTTGGCCTAAAATAAGCTTGAAAGAAGAGGAAAACCCCTGGCCTAATTAAGGACAATTGGCTAATGTAGGGCTAGAGCACCAAGAAATGACCAAACTTTGACAAACAAAATCCTGACTAAATTCCTAAATTCGACTGTAAACAATTCAGTTTTTGTACTACTTAAATCAATGCGATATAACAGTTAAATCAGTAAGATTTCAAGGTGCTTTTGTGTAGATTTTATTACCCTTGCACAGATTGAGCTATGTCTGACTGAGAAACTGAGGAATCTGTCAGCAGACAGCCTGTTAGCCAAAGCGTCTCCACCCTTAATTGTGTGTAACTTTAAGCCTTAATCAAGTTATAGAAGTATAAGTTATAGAAATAGTTGGATATTTTAACATGGGAGTTTATGTGGACTGACTGGCTTCTGGAGCCAGCCTCAAGTGGACATTCATGGAACTGCAGATCATGACAGTTCTGTGTTGGCTTCTTTTTCATTCTTGGGGGTTGCTGCTTGGTACAGACATGACAGTGGTATAAATCTGAACATCTTACTTTCTACAGAAAGCCAATAGGCTTTCCAAAAATGTTGAACAATTCCTTTAAGGAAATTAGAAAGTTGAGAAGATGTAATTGTTTAATGAAACCTGAACTATATAACAGTTTGGGGTTGTGTTTCCTTGTTGAGGTAGCTTTGAGAGTGCTCTTAAGATTCTCTTATCACAGAGATAAGAGAATCTTAAGAGCACTTACATAACCAAACATCACACTTGAATTGAGAGGCAAAATGAAAGAGGAGCTCAGCAACAGGCATCTGCTTGCCACCCAACTAACTCAACAACATAAGACCCTCTCTGATGACAACGTGACTCTTGTATCTAGGCAACACAGTTCTCTTGTAAAGACACATTTCACAATTTCAATTATGACAATTATCATGTGAAAATATGCATCTCTATTTTCAGAATTCCATCCGACATAACCTGTCACTCAACAAATGCTTCATCAAGGTACCACGGCAGAAAGACGAGCCAGGGAAGGGTGGTTTCTGGAAGATTGATCCACAGTACGCTGAGCGTCTCCTGAGTGGCGCTTACAAGAAAAGACGAATGCCACCAGTCCAGATCAACCCAGCTCTGCAGAACCGACTCAGGGTCAACCTCCAGCCCCAGTCCAGGGGACCCTGCACCCCCACAGGAGGGGGTCATGGCCTGTGCATCAACCCAGAGTCCCAGCGGCTCCTCCAGGAGTTTGAAGAGGCAACCGGCGCCGATCAGAACTGGGACCCCCATCTGGCTGAAGGGACCATGCTAGGTTCCTGGCCAGTGGTGAAGGGAAAAGGTGGGCACAAGAGGAAACTGGGCTCCAGAAATGGCACCATCAAAGTTCCCCGGCGCTCCAGCTCCCCATTGCTCTCTGCAGACGAACAGAAGGAGATTGGACCTCTGAAGGGGGACTTTGACTGGGACGCCCTGCTGGACTCGGCCCTCAGCGGGGAGCTCAGTTTGGAAGGAGGAGAATCTTTGAGCCCCATCATGAAAGAGGAGGACCTAACAGTGCAGGGGACCCACATCTCTCCTGTTGAAGCTCCCCCAGGGACAGCGGGCATCCATGTGTTGGTGGAGACCCAAAGGAATAATGACGTGTCAGACTTTGATGAGGAGACCTTCCTTGCCACCGCCTTCCTTGAAAGCCCCTGGCCAGAAGAGGAGGAACAAGGCCGCAATGATTTCCTCTGTAGCTCCTCCGTCAACCTGGACCAGCTGTTTGACCTCGGGGACTCATTAGGTGGAGACCCAAGCACCCGAATTGATACCCTCCTTTGAGGAGTGGTTGGTCCTCTCTAACACTAAAAACTCACTGAGGAATAACAGACTTTTTTTTTACATTCAAGCAACTCTTATTGTCTTTTTGAGATGTTTAAAGTGTTTTTAGAACAACATTTTGATACCTGTTCATGCAGGAAATACATTCCCAATGCCTACTGAACAAAGGTGCCACTATGTACAGCAGCAGTTCACATCATCATGGGGAAAACAAAACTATGTTGAATTACTCTCAGTAAACCATGAAATGACTGGAGACAAACACAAACTAACTTTCAGTTTTGGAGCCTGGTCACAGCAGAAAGTGGCTGAACAAAATGAATCTTCACAAAACAATTTGTTATATAACTTGGTGATGTAGTGAGTAAACTGTCAATTAGCAACATGGATGTTTTAAAGGAGCTGGATAAAGCGCTGCCACTTTGCTGCGCAGTTTGTCCCAGTGGCTAACTGCAGTACTACAATGAAAAAATCCCCTGCGGCCCAAATAGCATCTTCCCCATAGACCACTGTGATAAAAGAGACATCTGTAAATCTGTTGACAGGACAGCTTGAACTCTAGACAAGGTTGATCATTATTTTTTGTCTAATGAAATATAAATACTCCATTCCAATTACCTTGTAAGTTGAAGGTCGGAGCTGGAAGCGACCCAAGTTGACCGCGGTCCAGTACAACAATTCAGAAAACCAAGATGTTGTCAGCATTATGCTGTATTTTGCGCATACAAACACCATGTAAACATTTCCACAGATAGAATTTGGACAGCACTGTCCGTACGACTGATTTAATGTTACAGTATGTTACTACAGTTTTCACCACTGTTGATGCACAGTGCAACCATATTGGATTTTGAGGTCAAGGTTGGTGAGGTTTCTTCGACTTTTTGAATCAGAAATCTGACTTCAGGGGTGTTACATTGGAAATTTCCAGCTGAGCCCACAGGAATTCTGACTTCCCAGTTGGAAGGCACAATAATTAATAAAGATTTAATATTTGTAAAACGTTACCTGAGCTTAGAAAAGTAAGGCACGTTATTAAAATGCTCCAGCAGGAGTAACACTATCAAGCATGTGCAGTGGACCACACTTTTTGGCTTATGAACACTACAAAACAATTTTGATTACACTCAATTAGTGCCTTCTTGGACTCTGGTATCCAGTTATTGTAATACGTCCATGGTTAGCAAGCTTGTTATCAATGCTTTATTAAAAAGCTGTATAAGTATCATGTCCTCTTGTCTGCCAACTGTGTGTAAACCAGTTTATAATCTGACAGAGGAGCATCAATAAAACTGGATGGTGACAAACAGCTAATAAGCTATAATAGCTTCATCCATTTTGGCTCTCTGTCCCCTCAAAGGTCTACTCTGTCAGGATATTCTGCCATTGGTTAATGATGCAAATTTAACAAAAATTGAACTTGATCAAAAACATTATCATAGGAGTACTTGGCCAATGCAAACTAATCCATTTGAATAAATGGATTTCATCTCAAACTTTATGTAATTTTAAATGTGGGTGTGAACAGGCCTTTAGGATAACACATCATGGTCTCTGTTTACATCATAAAAAGGTGTGTAAAAAAAAAAAAGTGATTCACAGTTTTTAAAGAGGAAGAAATAAGCAAATTGTACCAGCAGGTGGAAGACAGATGCTTTGATTGACAGAAAAGTCATGTCTTGCTGAGAATTGTTTTAATATGTAAATACTGTGACAGCAGCACTACGATGATGAATAATGACATATTTGCCAAATGATGTTTGGTGTAGGGGTGATTTATTGTATTAGGTTTTTGTGTGGGGTTTTTGGTACTAACTATTGTCTGTATGCATTTTTCAAAAATAATTAGGACCAGTTTAACTAGATTAATAATAATTATATAGGACTAATTTGTTCTTTGTAGAAGCATTTAGTAACCACTTTCTTTGATCCTGAGGCTGCAGTGGAGGACACATCTGGGCGTCATGGCATAAAAGTTGAAACAGCTTGAGGCTGAATTTTCCAACAAAGACTATTAAGACCTTAAAATGCTCACTTTAGAAAAAGGCCATGGTGCCTTGTAAATGAATACCTGACCTTCTATGTGACAAGAACAACACTTGGGACTCGACAGGGTGGCAGTGTTTTTTTATTATGGAGAATAAATGTCCTTTTCTTGTAGTGTTGTATGTGAGGAGATGCAGCGACTTAGAGCTGTCAGTACATGAAGAAAAGATGTAATATGTGACACTGGATAACTAAACCAAACCACTCTGTATGGATTCAAGTAGTGTTAACTTTAAAGATACACCTATTGTTCCTAGTTTCCTCTAAAATGTGTGAAAGTGCAATCAATGTACAGTGATACTTGTTTTATTTTACATGCAGTTGTTGGAGTCTATTGATGCAGTTTACTTTAGAGACACCAGTTTCACTAGTTTGTGTATTATGAGGTGTGAATGCACTCTGATAGAAAAAAGGACTCTTAAACACAAAGCAACAGTAAAATGTTTGTGTCAGCTCTTCTCGATCAAATAACACTTTTGAAGTATAGTAATGGCGTCTTACCTCATGATTGGTTCTGTTAAGTCAGAAACTCTGTATGCATTCTTTTAGTTTCCTGTTTTTGTCTTATTTTCCATTTTTCTTTGACAATAAAAAAAATAATAACTGCATCTTGCTTGTCCAAATAATATTTTTAAGTTTTTTTATAGCCATGCTGGCAGGCAGGCAGATTTGTAGTCCCCTCAGGATAAACCCTACTGACTTTGTGATGCTCTAACTTTTCATCCAGCATACCATGAGGTACACATTTGTGGGTAAGAGTGAAATAATAAACCATTGCCATGACATTTGGTACAGATATTCAAGTTCCCCAGAGGATATATTGAAACAAATCTGGTGATCATCTGACATTTCCTGCAGCACTATTAATTTATTCAGCAAATTATCTCTGCATAGATTGGTATAAAATTTTGTCGAGACATTCATGTTCCCCCAGATGATGAATCCTACTGACTTTGGTATTTGTATTACCTTTCATGTAGTGCCATTATAAGAAGATTTTAAAATTGAAATGACTCAAGAACTATTGTATGGAGTGCAGAAAAAATTTGTACAGACCTTCATATTCCCTAGAAGATTAATTTAACAACTCGGATCCTATACCTGCAGAACCTATGACATTCCCATCAGCCTCAGTGGTACTTTGTATTAAGTGCTACTTAGTAAATCTTAGCATGCAAACATACTGAAGACGATGAACACAGTAAACATGCATGTTAGCACTGTGATTGTAAACATTTTAGCATGCAATTATTAGTGTCACATAACAGAGCTGCTGGCATGGCTGTAGACTCTTGTTTTCTTATGCTTGCTGTCTTGCACCCCCCCCCCCCCCCCCCCCCGTGCTTCAGTGTGCCTGTATGTGAGATTTACGCTGGTCTTTTCCTGCTCATCTCTTTCGGAGCACTTGCTGTGATCAGGCAGTGGATGGGTAGGCTAATAGTAGCAGGGGGTGGCTGGGTTTCTCTTTCAGGTCTTTGTCTGTGCTCAGTCAGACTCTTGTTCCCCATGGCTCTTGGATCTGTGGTCCTTCATTGGGTCAGTGTGGGGTCTAACAGGGACAAGTGTCCCACGGCCCCATATATCACCGCCTGTCTGCTCCAATGTAGACCACACCGTCTCTCTCTGACCCTGCAGATTAGCAAGGTGGCTCACGTTCAGAGAGTCAGATGAATAGCTGCAGTAATCAAATGCAAATACATAGAATTTAAGAAGCCTGCGTCCTCCCGGGGTCGTGAACAGACAGGCTTCTCTGTCAGTGAGCGTGTCTGTATGTGGTCACTGATGAGGTAATGATGGCTGAGAGATGAAGGGCGAAGATAGAGTGCTGTAATGTTACACCTCTGTATGATGGACACCCAACACTCTGCTGGAAGAGCAGGATACTGCATCTTCATGCCCAAGCCGAGAGCTTTTTTCCTGGAAAGGAGAGCTGACGTTTCCCCTTCCCCCTCAGCCTGAGCGCCCAGCAGGCCCCCCTGGACAGCTATTACCTGCTGGACTTAGTTCTCCAGCTGGATTGCAGGGCTCATAATTATAATGTGGCAGGCTGGTTAGATGAGAGGCCTGTGGTAACCTGATGCAGGTATTATTCCCTGGCCCTGCTGACGGCTGCAAGTAAGAGGAGCCTCTTGGTGAAACGCTAACCCTAACTGCTTGTTCCAACCCAGAAACGCTGCAAACTGAAAGTGCTAAACACCAACACCCAATGTGGCCGGGACAATGATGCAGCCATTTACAGTATGGTTCAGCTGATATAAGTAGGGAAGATACTAATAGTTTGACATTTTGTGCCTAGTTTTGATTCAGTTCTTCTCTGAATATCATCATGTGACAACAATCTCATCACATCTTCTTACTATAGCTGCTCTGGAGCTTTTGGTAACATCACATAGTCTTAGATTGTATATGATAAGACTAAAAGTTCATTCTTACCATAATGTCTCAGCAGATGCCGTATATCTTCCATTTTTCCTACTTGCATCTGCTGAGGATGATCATGTGATGTGATCAACAGCTCCAGAGCAACTACTAAATGCACCTGTGGTCAGCTGCTGTTTGTTTACTCAATCTCAACCTTTAATTTGATTGCGAGCATTTGAGTAAGAGAGTGAGGGAGAGAGAACAGCATACTATATTTAAGTTCAGACAGCTAATTCAAATATAGAGGCAGTTCTGTGCAGTCAGGATGTGTCTTTTTCCGTTGCCCCACGACTCCACTGGTATTCCTCTGGAGGAAGACTAAGAATACGAAGGCTGGTGAGGGAACTGCTGGGAGCTACTGGGAGCCCTCAAGAGCTGAAGCTTATCTGCAGAATCCCAAAAAAACAAGATGTGAAAAAGGGGACATAGAAGAGATGGGGAATACATCTTTTTTATCACGCAGCTAATGAAAGGCTGTTTCCTGGGTAACTGCTGGTACCATTGTCATGTAGGATTGGGGAAGCTGGAGGGGGGTTGAATGGGTGAGGGTCTCTTACTAGTCTTACGGAGGCTGTGGTGTTGATTAGAGCTGTGGAAGGATGGTGTAGCAGACAGAAAGAGAGGCTCGATGGAGCCCCAGATTTATTACAGTGGTCGTTTTGTAAAAGTACACTTACTTTACCAAAGTGAGGCTCCCCCTTCTATCAGATGTTTTACTTTGAAGCAGCTGCTTTTCTTGGGCATGATAGCTTCACTATATATATATATATATATATATATATATATATTTGCACTCAACACAGTTGATCTAGAGTGCTTTACAGACCATAAGAAAGGAGAATAACAACAGAAAGCAAAAATAAAGTAAAAACAAAAGTATAAAAATCTCATGGCCACATACCAGTGCTCAAAGTGGGCCAGTGCTCAGCAGTATACACAGTACTGGCACTTCTATATTTAACTCTGTGGGATACAGTGACTTCTTTTCTTTGCGCACCAGCACTTCTCACAAGCTGGCAGTAGACTTTTCTGCCACCTTCATTTCAGGTTTTCTGGGCGATTGATAATGGCCCTACATAAACTGCATTACCCAAGGAGCACTGGGGGCACTATGTACCATGGGGTATGATGTGGTGCTCACCTGTATTGGTTCACTGAATTTTTTTCCCAACTATGGTGAAAGCATGACCCATCCTACTCTGCCTCTGACTGGCCAGTATTATTTGCCCTTGTTGATTGGGTTGTTGAGGTTTAGGCATGAGGACTAAGATTGGTTGGGGTTAGGGTAAGAATTTCAGGTTAAGCCAATCAGAGATGGAGTAGGGGAGAGTTGGGTGGGTCCATAGCAGGAAAAAATTGCTTTCTGGTCTCACCTGAACCACTCTTCTCTGTTGGCGGCTGGTGTCATTAACGTTACATTACAGTCATGTTGGCCTGGCTCCCACCACAAAGAGAACATGAACAGAGTCATAAGATGACACAACAGATCTCTGAAAGTCACTACATTACTAAATGCAGACCTGGAACAGCAAGGCAATGCTAGTACCACTCCTAACCAGATTTGTTTTTGGATACCGTGACCTAACAGGAGCATATAAATAAAGAAGGGGGCCCAGTACAGAACCTTATGGGACTCCATGGAAAATGGAGGCTGAGGATGAAGATGAGTTTCCAACTCAAACAATTAAGGATCTGTTGGATAAACACAAAGAAAACTAACATAATTATTTCAGGAATGTTTTCAGGAAACAAACTGCCCAAACAGTGAAGTGAATCAGTGACTTGAAAAAAATAGACACACTTCCTTTCACAACACAGGTGGACAGTAACAGTTTATATTGCTTTGGAAGTGAAAACGTGTCTTATCTCATTATCGCAGCAAAACATGAAAAAATCAAACACCACAAAATCCATCAAAGTGGCTCTCAGGTTTTAAAGCTGCTTCTCTGTTTACTTAAACTTTGCCCTGAAATGACCTCTGATACAAGGAGACACTTTAAAACAGGTTGGTGGTGAGTTCAACATGTTTTAAAACACTTAAAAGATCATATCATTGGGCTGATTTAAACATTAACTTTTGATTCATTTTTCACTCCTGTGTTCACAGACATTGAACTTGTTTTTTAAGGGTTGTATGCATTATGGGGATTCATGTTTTTATCGAGCACCACCATATATTTGAGGACATTCTGTTTTGGCACATCTGTGTATCTGTATAATCCTTTTGCCCAAATATGCAGTGGTGGGTAACTAAGTACTTGACGTTTACTCAAGTACTGTAATCAGGTGTCATTTTGAGGTTGGCTACTTGTACCCTGCTGGAGTATTTTCATTATAAACTATGAGGTACTCAGCTACATTTCTGGAGGTAAATATTCAAACCTGCCACATTCATTTGATAACTTAAATTACTTTGCAATCATCTTTACCAGCTCCAGCATTAAAGTGATAAACACATTAATGTCTCAATAATCATAATCCACCTAGATATGTTATACTGAAATGGGTCACTCTGCATAATGAGTACGTTTGCTTTTGGTACTTTTAGTATATTTTGATGCTAATACTTGTACTTGTGCAGGACTTAAACTTGTTTTACTTGTTAGTATTTCTACACTATGATATCACTACTTTAACTTAAGATCTGAATATCTTTTCCACCACTGCAAATATCTATCAAAATGCACTAAAACATCAATTCACTATAAAAGAACCATGAATGTCATGTCAGTACCATGAGGGTGCTGATGTGTTCAGGGTGTCGGGGTCAGGACAAAGATTTGTAGATCATTGTATGCAGGATGTTAAGGATGATGGCGGGTCTATGTTTGGGGAGTGCATGGGTGTGTGTTTGCATGTTTGCCTCTGTGTGTGTGTGTGTGTGTGTGTGTGTGTGTCCTCTTTTGCAGTGCAGGCTGATGCTTCTTTGTCAGGAAGACACAAGCAAAGGGGTAATCCGACATCCATCACAGGCTTAGTGAGCAATACACACTCTGTGTAACAACATGGAGACAATACCCAGGGAAACAGTGGGAGGGCCTCTTTATTCATTACGCAGGGCTAGGGGGACGTTCCTTTGTAGGTGTTTCAGGGAACTGAATGAGGCAGCAGAAGACCAGCATGACAAAGCCAGTCCTGGTGTGACCAGTAAACTTCCACAGCGAGCTGGGAAACTGTGA